CTATGCTCCGAGACATCCGAACTAAAAGGACAGAACTAGATCAACATGACCAACCTGAGCAAGCCCAGCACCATTGAGCGGACCATCGCCATCACCGAGATCCATCAGGTCCTCCATAGATACTGCATTTTGGCGCGAGAAAATGCGCCGTTCCACGAGATGAAAGACCTCTTTCTCCCTGATGGCATTTTCCGGCTGCCAAATGGCACCGCCGTAGCACCGCAGGACATGGGAAACGTGGTGCAGGGAAAACCGCCGCAAATGATCCGTCACCATATCACCAGCATCGATGTTCAATTCGTGGGCCCCAGGAACGCCAGCACGAAGTCGCTGTTTCTGGCGATGACACACCGGTCTAAAATTGACCACTGGGGATACTGGCAGGATGACTTCCAGCTCGACGAGCAGGGGAACTGGTTGATTGCAGAGAGGCAGATCGTGGTTGAGGGACAAGACCCTGCTGGATGGTACGCGGATACCTACTGTGCTTGATTTTGGCTGTGGTTAGTTGAACGTTGGAATTTTGTATATTTCAGAATAGATACCACTACTACCTTGTTTTAGTATCTGCTCGGTTGCTGTTTTTATTTGTCCCTCCGCGCGCCTCCCTGGATATAGTGTGGTCGTCTACTCGGTTGCATTAGCCCAGTGTTCGTGCTAGACTGGAATAACCAGAGCTTCATATTCCTGTATGGTCAAGTAAAAGCCAGTACATCTGTGGGAACAATCGGCATTTCCTATGCTAAAGTCTATTCATTCGTACTAAGAACCAGCGCCGGTAGAGGTGGAGCACCCAACATTGGCACAACAACCTTCCAGTCAATGTGTCAGATGCAACACACTCTCTATATGTTCTGTATTATAGCCCTGCTCTTTGTACCAACTCTCAGGTCGGTAGTATTCGAATAGGTAGTATAGCAGCCCTTGCGTAGTTCGTCCTGATATGTCCTTGGATACAGTCACATGACGAATAGGTTAGAACTTGGAGAATGCTAGGATTTTATACTTGGTATCTCTCAATACTTCTTCTACCTATTTAGTGATATCTAGAGCTGAGAGTCATACGAGTCATATATTTGAGCAGCGTTGTACAGTTCTAATAGGGACTGGACACAATGCCCATGCGGCCTTGTTCAATCATGACAGACCGCAATGAGAGATCACACATCAGCCAGGTGATATCATTCAATTGCATGCATTGGCTTTCTGCTGCTTGGTATTGAGTAGCCTTGGTTCCGTATGAATTCATGGATTAGATACAGTTACTACTTTTGTCATAATTCGATAGAATATCTGAGATATATGTACTTGAGAGTTCTGCAGAAGGCCCATTCCCTTGTTAAGAGTGGACAAGAGCAGGTCATCTCGCTTCTCCGCAAGTACATGGTAACACCATAACACTAGGCATGAAAAGAATACACCATACGAGAGATGTGGTATCTCTGCAACTGGTGAAAAGCCCTCTGTAGCGTGGACTCTGGAGGTCCCAGAGCTGCACAACACGGTCATGGCGTGCTCTATCAATGTTCCTGCATGGTATAATGAGATTTGACATCTCTCCGTGCGCGTCCACCTTCGAAGATAGTTGAGACTGTGGTCTGGTATATGGCGATGGGATTTGGACTCGATACTTGCAAAGGCGAAACGCTGTATGAGACGCAGATTCGCATTTAACGTGATGTTAGTAAGGAGGTAAAGGGACAGGATATTTCCATCATAATCGATAGGCAGTAAGCGCCGCCAACGACTCAACGCTAGTTCAATGGATTCACGAGACCAGAGATACTCTTCCTTTCCACTGTCAAAGCCCCGTAGCATGATTGGCCATGACAGAATCGCAAGAGCAGCGACCAACACATTCTTGTTGTGAAGAAAGCATGTCGGATCAATGGTTGAACCCGGTGTGAGTAGACCGCTGAGTGTCTGAGGAAGATAGCAGCCTTCAACTGGTTGTCCTTCAGAAGCCTCAAGAGTAGGATAGAAATGAGGTGGTCTTTGTAGCAAGAGTACTCTATAACATTCAAGGATATAGATGGACGCGAGAGCCCTGCCCCATATTAGCAAAGAGAATGGATCGGGCAGGGATAGGACAAATTACTGATTCTTGACATCATCATCCGTGTTTCGCATTCCTTTACTGGGTAGGATGCCAAAGTCATAGGCGACCTTTCCACGGATTAGTAAATATAGAAGCAATGTCCACTGTGTTGCCTGCCGACCTCTAACATCGTTGGGTGGAAAACTTCGGTGATTTCGTAGCATCGTTTGTCACCACTAAGGATTCCGAATAATTCAAGAGAAATGAACTGCTTAGAATTACCATCCGGCTCAATTGTTCTGAATTGAGATCGCATACATATTTCATTATTCCAATCTGATCATCGACATCATGGACTTCTTCATCGCAGTAAGCCTTGTATATAAGACAGGTGTAAGCAGACTCTTTGGTCATCTCGACGGAGATGTATGCAGACGATACGGAAGTGTCTTACAAAGGTCAGCAGCAGTCGGCGGGCATCTGAGAACAATGCCTTTGCCACGACGGAAGCACCGGATGTCGAACAATAGATGCCACCCACTGCAGCCATCGCCAAACGAAGCCCCTCTTGCAGCTTTCCTGGTGGGTTGATGTGCTTGAATACAGGAAACGCGGTGGCGACGTGGAGCTGAAACAATGAGAGGAGAACCTCTACCATTTCGATATCGTATAGCTCTGTGCAGGGGCTTTTGTAAATCCAAGCCATATCTTGAGGCCTAGATGAAGGTCCTTCACTGGATACCTCATTCATATACCCCAAAAGCACATTCAAGGCCTGTTCACATGGGCGGGCAGTGTTGCCCTGAAAAACTGGCTGATGTGACAGCACAATTGGCCATTCTGCATTACCTGTATATCCATCTGAGGTACCAACCAACTCTTGAGCAAGAGCAGAGCTTGCCTCAGCCTCAAATGCCAGGAAGTCGAACAGCTATTTAGGTATAAGTGTCCGGGTAGAATGAGTTGATAGCATTGTGTACCCACAGTTAGATTATCCGAATACGGCAGTGGCCCAGTGGAGGCGGTTGTTGAATCTAGGAGCTCATCCCAAGATAAACCGAGCTCAGGCTGACCTTGCAAGGGTTCTCCAGCCGAAGCTTCCGTGTTAGAAGCGCGAGCAGAATTATGTGGGGCATCACTAATTCGTTCAGCATCGTCCACGTCTGTCAGAGTCTTTGACGTTGCACGATGCAATAAAGATGGGCCTCCACCCTCCATTTGGGTGAACGTTTGATTAGAGCAAGCACGAGCATTACCACGATGTCCCCGCCGCTTGAACAGGCATGACTCCCCCCGAGTCCGGCAAGACGAGCAAGGAATTCCCCCGACACATTTCAACTTTTTGGAATGACATCGATCACAAGCCATAAATGTGCGGGGCCTTGTCGTGGGGGGTAAATATTCTGAAGATGCGCTTGCTTCTGGGTGATTCCGTTGCAAGTGCCGGGTCAACACGTCCGAGCGGGCAAACCGCTGAAGACATACTCCACAACTGAAGGGCTGCTCCCTGGTATCTTTGCAGCTGTCGTCAACAATTCTAACCCAGGGTCTGAGAAAGCATACGAAGATCAGGTTACTAACGACAGCGACGGTGTCGCACCAAATGCTCAGTTCTCGAGAAACTGCGGAAGCACAGATCACACTATACTCTGGATTAGACAGTGGAAGGGAAATTGGAACTGGAAAAGGGATATCACTTTTACATGTTTTGAATCTGAAGTATTCTTGTCCGTCATCACGTGTATGCCTATCTTTACACCTTTGGGAAAGAAATAATAAGTGCCTTTCCAGTGGAATCAAAGGATCGGCTGGGCAGATCGGATTCATGGGAATGAGGTCGAAGGGAACGCTTTCATACAGCATTAAAATCATCGGTCATTTGTTTCTCCGCGTGGGTCCCGATTTAGTTTAGTACAGCATACTATGAGCACGTTAACCAATTATATATATTTATATAGACCCACTTATTCTGTGTCCAACATATGTCTATATACCACATGAGCAAATTGCAGGACTGAGAGAGGACTTGGAATGGAAAGAGAAAAGTAGAAGCCAGGAAGAAACAAAATATGTAATGGTCCACCGGCTGGCACCACCAGGAAATGTATGGAGAGTGTTAGAATGACTATAGCATGCGTTGCAATGACTAAAGTAGGATTAGCTGGTTGGTCGAGGAAGTATATTAGATAACTAGGATAATTGCTAATATTGAAATGTATGTATCGAATAAGAGTGTAATACTTTGTTTACCATGGTATGCTTGAGTAACGGGTCAAAATTCCCGATGAAGTCTATCAACTGGCATAGGATGACAGGGTTAGTGTTGCCTTCTATTGCCTACTAAACCAGTTGAAAATAGATATAGTCTTTGGAGTGATCACAGCTAATAATTGAAGTCTCAATGAAGACGAAATGTGTTATACCTGGGGCCTGATTCCCTCGCTTTATAGATCTGTGGATGCTAACTCAGCACTGCAAGAAACAATAATATTGTAATTGGTAGATATTAGTGTCGTCTATCTTGTTCAATGATCGGATTTCTATCGCTAGCTATTCCTGCCTTATAGATTCCGGATAGGATATGTTGAGACGATTATGGCTATAACCGATCGCTTTCTATTTCTATTAATTATGCTTCATATGGGGAGTTTAAGATATGTCTAGAAAGCCGGTATTGTCTCGAAATAGCCAGTGGGTCAATCATAGCAGAGCTCGAGTATGCTACAGTGCTCGATATTTTCGAATTAGATAGCTTGCAAAGAAGTTAGGCCATGGGAAAGTCAGTGATGTGTAATCGTACAGAAGCTTGAAATCGGCCAACACCGCCCAACTACACCCTCTACTGGGATCTGTTTGATTATTCATAACATGGGTCTCGTCCCACCAGTGTAGTTTCCATAGTACGTATCTTCCACAAAGTAGGGTTTTACCACCTGTCTTAAAAGGGCCATACATAGAATCGTCATGAATAATGATAATAATAACCCCACGCATGAACAAGCTGTCCGAGCTTAACATCCATTGCCTAGAGGGGGGTCAGCTGATTAGGGCAAAAAGGCCTGGTTCCTTACCAGAAGGTCTAGTAGCTCAGAGGCCATTAATGTATCGTCTTCCATCCAGTCGCGTTGTCTATTAGTAATAGATCCCTCGGAAACGGTTTGAGCGCGATCAAAATCTATCCAGAGTACTCTGCCTGTCTCTGGCTGAACTACCATATTCCGAGGATATGGGTCGCCATGGCAAACTCCAGCATCGTGGATTTGGTGAATAATCTGCAGAAGAGCAGCAGCACGGTCTTCGGTGTAGGTAGTAAGATCTATTTGCTTAAGATTTAGAATGAATTCCAGCAGAATCGCATTTAGAGGAAGTTTGTCCTTCAGGAAGCGATTGAAGTGAGGTTGCCATTGAATGGGGTCTATTTGCTCGATCACCCCATAGAAATCCGGGACAACCCCTTGCTGACACAACCCTCGCTCTTGCAAACGAACATATGCGGCACTCTCGCAGAGGAAAGGGTCAACCTCTCTGTACGTAGGATGCCATGGCTGCTTCTCTATGGTACGATACTGATTTTGTTAAGGACAGGTTCGCAAAGTAGCGTGGCGAGGTTTCGGAGTATACATACTACCTTCATGAGACATCGGCGTCCTTGCAGGGATACTTGAAAGACGCTAGATGTTTCAGACTCCTTTTCACAGCTGACGAACTCAAAGTCGTTGGAATTCAGTCCCATGATGTACAGTGAGGATGATGGTGTTTGTCTAATTCGAGAAAGCGGGATCATTGGCGTAGGAACAGCCCTCTCGTCCCCCAGTGGTGGTTGCGAGGCTGGATTTCGCTCAGATTATGTAAGGAAGCTTAATCCCCATTCTAGGCAGTGATTAGTTAGTTAGAATATAACAGTGTTAGTGAGACTCCATCTACAAAATATCTTTGCTTCTGCACATCGTTTTCACTATTGTTGGCAGATCGGCCCAGGACTTTCGGACGCTGGCTATTGCTTGGGTCGTATGTGGCATCGTTAGTTCGCCATGTATGACCGGATATTACAGTAGGATTTACTAGCTCGGAGGTTGTGTTTGTGAAACATTTCAATTAACTTTGGGATGTAAAAGACTTATATACAGGACTGAAGAACACAATACTCGAACATGTCAGGGTTGGATACATTATGTGCGGGCCATGGATCATGCTCAATAGGCCCGACATATATATCTCTTGTGTTAGCTGGGCTTCTCAAGTGGTGGTCAGTATGGACGGTCGGGTAGCTCCGGGCACCAGTCAGGGACCTGGCTTCCAGCTACTTCTTTCGGGGGAGACGGAGGGGCCTGCCTTGCTGGAGGAATTGCTGCTGATGTTTGGGCCATGGTAGGTGTTTTACTTTTTGCCGATTGAGACTGGCGATACTTGAAGCAAGCAAGCACACCGAGCAAAAAAACCGCAGGAACGCCAACGCCCACGCCAATGCCAAGTGCTATCTTTGTGGTGGGATTAAGGCCAGACCCAGATGCCGACGCTTGGGAGGTTCCTGTTGGGAGAGATAGCGTGCTACTTATGGATGATGATAGGGGTGGAGTTGTTGAGTTCGGTTCCAATGTCGAAGTCGCTGTGTAAGAAGTCGACGTACTCGTAGTCCGTTTCTTTTCGGTTATGTTGAAGTAATTCGAAGTAAATCCTTCGGGTGTATCGGCATTTATCCAGAAGAAGAAGATCGGCGAGTCTTGAAGGCTGAAACCGTAAGTTTGCACCATCCAGGTAAAATTAGTCACCCCGGTGTTATGTACCTGGGCTTCAAAGCTCGGCTTGGTTGTCAGTCGGATGGTTCAACCCAGAAGGTAAACGATAGAAACTATCAATGCGTACAAAATATGTTTCCCATATTAGCCCCAGTCTTTTGAGATAAGCTCTGCTGCCACATAGAGACATTAAAAGTAGTTAGGGTTGTCACCCATGAAATTTGTTGCTGTTCCCCAAGAACCCAGATGGGATTCTCAGCCGAGTCAGCGGCAGGGGGATTCACAAATCTATTTGGGTTGCTTTTTCCATTTCCCTGTGCCAATGCTATCTGTGGACCCCGAAGCAGTATAATTAAGAATATATGCAGAAACAAAGTAAGTGACCTTCGATTGTTCATGGTGGCTCGGTCGAGTGGGAGGAGTGGAACAGAGGTATACCTTCGAAAGAAACAAAAAGAGAAAGAAATCCTTATGGTATTGTGGGCCCATGAGGGTAGTTGTCAGCACGCTACGCAAAGAAGACTCGGGTTCACATTTATGGCGCAGCTGCATTAGTGTCCTTTCCATGAGCGCCTAGTACTACCTCCGAGGTCGTCCTTCTTTGTGTTAGATTAGGACTAGCATGGTGAATGGCCCTTCGTTTACAAGGGACCCTGATACAAGGGCTCCACGGCGATGGAAATAAGAGCACTTCGAGCAAGCCTGAGCAACAGCCAGGCTGGGCATTGCTTTGCCAGCCTAGCCTATCACAATGACCCGAAAGAAGCCCCGCAGACTGTTCCTATGTCAGGAGGTACCAAGCATATGCCAGGTACGCTATATATAGCTTCCCTGATTTATTGGGATGTAAATACTTGTTTTACGCTGGGTAAAAGAGGGAAAAAAATAGCACAGGCGCTTAGCATGATACTGAACCACTAGCCTCTAAGTTTTTCATACACCCCCTACCATAACCTCATGTATACCGGTATTGTCAAGCATCTTCAACGCCCCTTCTGGTAGCTCCAACTGTGTAGGGTCTATTTCATGAGCTAGAGCGTCGTCCGGTACTGCATGTACTGTACGTTCACCGCTCAGCAAGCGGCCAGCGTTGTACATCGTACTGTATATAGATCCAGCTGGGGTCTCCTTTTCGACCCAACCATCGTCATTGTGGATGTCTGATCCCCTCGCCTTTGGCCCAGCCGCCCTCCAGACTCCAATTAATGATGGAAATGGAGCAATACATCTCAACCAGCCTTTTTGGCAGTACCGACTAATTGCCACGTCGAGCTGAGCACCGCCACCCTCCGGTGTCAAGGAAAGAGCCGAAAGAATCTTTTGGGCTCCAAGATAAGTCACCGCGTATCCAAGAGCACATACTCCCTCCTCTGCATGTGCCACTAAGCGGGTGTTATTGCCAGCTCCCACGGGAGGGTCGCGCCAGTACGGCGGTAGTTCTGGGACAGGAACGACCGTGATATCATCGGTTGTCACGTGGATTGGACCAGCCCTGAAATTTATCCCACAGTGTCCTATCCAGAGCAGATCCCAAGAATCGCCATAGGGTGAATGTGAGGGCTTAGTATCACCTTGCACTAACTGCGAAGCGGATGCAAATCTATGCAGCTGTTTCTTTAAGTTGACATCCCAGTCCGCGTCGTCCTCAAGGATGAATGCGGTGGAAATCCGGTCCTGCACTATTCTAGAGTATGGCAGTCCTTTTAGCGCGAATGAGAGGGAATTTCACAATTTTGGGCGTATTCTCGTACCTTTGCATGACATTCAGATGTGCCCGCCAGACTCCCAACTCACCTGGTAGATAGCCAGGGTCCCAATTCTAAGACAAATCGTAAGACCTTAGTAGCGGCCATATAAGGCGTCCGAGCGAAAATTGCACTTACTGAAGGATATGCCTTTTTGTCAACATCCTCTGCAAACACCCCGTTTATGGGCTCCGGATGAAACTGCACGATGGAGGAAGCCAGTGTTATATAATCACGTTTATCCGGTCTGTTCGGCAGGTTGATGAAGAAGACCCTCTCGAACTGGTTCAGAAATGTCAGCGACCGGTGTGATCATATTGCTGCGCGTAGGGATGGTTACCCCAAGAGTCTCATTTTTCACTGCATCTAGATCGCGGCGGGCTGCCCCGGACGCACTTGCGCTCGCTCCTGTATACGATGGGTGCGGTAGCGCCCAGAAGAGTAAGAGAATTATTACAAACAGAATAGCAGCCTGTAATAAAGGACGATTGATTAATTTAGTTAGCTTAACGAGGTTGACCATTTTTTTCTTCTGATATGTCAGGAGGAAAGGGTGCCGCCTGTCAGCCCGTGAGCACGGGCGGCGGGCTATAAGTAAACGGACTTTTGGAAAAGAATGCAATTATCCGTAGCGTGATTTTAAGAGGAGCGGGTCAGAATTAGGACCTCGAGTTAAATATTTATCGATGATTTGTTCTCCGGCGGTTTCCCGCCCCACAGACTGCTTTTCATATCATTAATTTCCTTTTCCCCCAGAGCAGTCTGTCCAGTTCACGGAATAAGCCGCGTGAATTAGTACAGGACACTAAGCTCATGTTCCCTTTAAGGGGCCTTGGCCAGCGCTTATCATTACGCAGGATGGGATGGTGGCTGACTCTTGTAGTTAGGGTGTCTTTGTCTTTTATGTAACCATAATTTACTTCTGTGATGCCTTTGGAAAGCATCCCTACTAGGAGTGGGCCAATAACAGCGAGTACCTGGAACTTGGAAGGAATAAAATGACAGAAGGTAAGAACGGCACCTCGCCCTTTAACCACCACTCCAATTTGTATTTCCGACTCCTTCAACTGCCAGGCGCGTTGGCGAGGAGGTATTATACACATATGTTCAGGTGACAAGTGGCCACCCACAATTAAAATAGATGCCTTCTATAAGTATTGGTCCCTTCTCACGTTGGCTGGATAGATGCCCTGTCTCTGTCTGAAACAGAGCTCCTGAACTACTGCGTAAAGTCTAGAAAGGCAATGGGGGACAAGGGTCTTTCAGGGATTATCGCATAATCGTCCAATGTGGTAGGGAGTCAACGTTTAAGCGCCCTCGGCTAGGGCCAACGAGACCCACAGATGATCCCCATGATGGCGTCCACTACTTGGTGTTTGCGGTGGACTCTGGATGATCCCTTGCCCCTAAATCACTGTCATCGTCGCCTGGACACTTTGCTACGAGACAAAATACCACCTTCCTAGGTGGATATATGATCTGAATCCTTGGCATAAATTAGTAAATTAGTTCCTGGTATGGGGGAGTGATCCGAGGTCCGCCTAGTCTGTCTTCTTTCCCCTTTTTCTATTTTTTTTCCCTTTTTTTCTCTCTAATATTATTTAGTTTTTCGGTCGCTCTAGAGGAGCCATAGGTTCATCCTCTTTTTCATGATCCAACACACTAACCACACTGATTCCACGGCTGATCAGCGGATAAGAACCTTCGTAGTGGATAAAGCTTGACACTGATAGACTTTCCGTATGGATCGCCCAACATTTTCTTTCAAGCACGTAGTAGTAGTAGTAACTTAATACTGGAGTCTCACCAAAAGGCCCAACCCCCCTGCCACCAGAATCGACTAGTTTCTAGATTTATGATCCACTTCTTCCGTAACAGGAAAAAAGAATTTAAATGCCACGGATCTGATATGAAATCGGCCCATCAGCCATACGAAGTTCCCGGGCCCTCAATCTCCTGGCTCCCCGTACATAATATGCGGTTTGTCTTGCAGTTTTGAACCGGCCCGGCAAGGTGTCACCTGACGGTTCAGTCCTGTTCCTGACCCCGATGTGGTTTTAAGCTATTTACGAACGGTATTGGACATAGGGTAAAGAGGCAATAATCAGTCCAATAGTTGGTTTTGTTACCATTTAATTGACGATAGAGGTTTCTATTCTTCCTTGTCTACGTACCTTGCCCCAGTGTATCCTTATCTAGTTGACCGGCCCTCTACCCCGCATACTATATCCTCCATTACACTATAAGTGTAGCAATAACGATTCTCTTCGAATATTCCATACATATTTCTACCACACCACCCAAGTGGTGAATCATTCGACGACGGGGTACTTGCTGAAGGTTAAGGACGCATTTATATGCAAACAATTCCTATATTGCTACTAGTGCTAGAATACGACTCGGGGACAGGAGTTAGGATTTGAGACCTTTATCAAGCTTCAGTCCAATCTGTGAGCTCAGTATACTATCACCTTTTGAATTTGATAGAATAGTATATAAGATATTCTATACTATAAGTACGTGGCAGCTGTGGCTTAATGCAAAGCGCCAAGGCTTCGGTAGAAAAGAGAAAGCTGACAGTGTTGATGCTAGATATAGTTCACCATAACGCTTGGCGTTGGCTAAGATATACTAATCAAACCCTCCTTCAATTTTCATGGCATAGTACTTCTGCATTGCCTCTGTGCATAGAAGCTGCCAGGGTTTGGGAAGAAATACTGTGTAAAAGAAACATTAAGAGAATCACGGTTCACCCATCTTTTATTTGGCTCTCGGATAAATTTATACGGGAAGAAATAGATCAGGATGTCGGATGGAACCCTTTGCAGGGATATGACTCCCCAGCGCTAATCATCATATTAGGCGCCGAACCTCAGTTTGATGCAAGGCAGAATGGGGGCACTAGACGCCCGCGCTAACTTCGCATGTCTGCTATCAGCTTCTTCTCTTTTTTGCTCTTCTGTAGTATCATCAACCATGTCGGACTCATTCAAAGAGGTGACGCAAATCCATGGTATAGAGGTTGTTCAGGCAGGACTAGAACCCGTTCCAAATCAGAACAACCCACACCATGTCATCGTGCCTGTGTTAGCCAACGAGTCTGTACCACGCAAAACCAGGATATGCGGCCTACGCAAGATGACCTTCTGGCTTGTTGTAGCGGTAGCAGCACTTGTTGCGGTCGTGATCGCCTTAGCGGTTGGACTGGGTGTTGGTCTTACTAGTATGTCGAGGGTCGCTTCAAGAACTTGTGATGGCTGGTGCTAATTTTTCAGGGTCACATTCTACCTCAACGGCTCCTGTGGCGACACCCAGCTCAGAGATTACATCCACCCCGTCAGCATCGTCGTTATCGCCATCATCCTCATCGTCAACATCCTCGCCATCCAGCACATCAAGCTCGGGTCCTTCAGCAACATCCACTGCTCTCTTCGACAAGGGTACAAACTATATTTGTCCCGATGCCAACAACACCGAAGTAAGGAATGTTTCAGGCGGATCAGGAAGCTCTAGTTATTATATCTTCTGCGACGCCGATATCAGTTCAAGCTCGAAGAAAGATTTATCTTCAAGTGTACAGAGCTCATTTGCAGCCTGCCTGGCTCTTTGCAATTCCATGAACAATTTCCAGGATCGAGCCGATGTTGGCTGCACTTATAACTTCGAGGGTACGGGGAGTCAGGACAAAGGGACCTGTTGGTGCTTGAGTGGCGGGAACAAGTCTATTATCACAAACGTGGGGAATATGGCAGCTGTGCTGTCCACCGAAAATGTGAAGCTAGATTTATGACTTTATATAGCGTTTGCAAATAGGGTCTACAGTGCCGTTAACGTAGATTAGATTTCTCGGCATAGCGGTGTCATTAGTAGTCAAGTTACATATCGACGTTTGCTTTGGAAACATTGTATGCGTGATGGCAACCAGCACGACCTGAGAGATCTTGTTTCTAAGTACATACACACAGCCATCTATCCTAATACTTATGGTATAGTGCAGTCAAAGACATTGGCAGGTCGAGAGTTCCATATATAATGAGCAACCCCAATGACACCCGCAATGATCGAAAGCACAAAGTATATCGCGATAGTTGAATCTTTTTCCACTCGCGATTTAGAATCGACTTAGTGTGCAATTCTAAGATACTACATTTTATTATATACATAATCAAGTGCTTTTTGATCCCATATTTCATTTCAAATCAGTTACTAGAAGTTCTGGTGCTTGGTAGACCATAGGTCTGACTAGTTGTCTAATTCCTCGAAAGCCGACCACTAAACCGGTGGGGTCGGTTAATAAATATGGCTTGAAGAGAAGAATACCCGAGTAGGTAGTATAAATGAATCCCGATATATCAAATACAACTTCGTTGACTCTGAATAGAGCTAGGCTGTGCGATACCATCGATGAGAACTTGGAATGAGAATAAGAGTCCACACCTGATATGGTGAAACCCTAAGCGATCTCGTCTTCGTAGTACCTGACCTGACCACGTATACCACGAGAGTCTACACGACCAGCGCAATTACAAGGCACTAAAAAAGGTAGAGTTGTTCGCAAGTTTATATAACTGGATTCACGGTGGTAAAATAGGCTCAATATTTATGTCAAATCACAGCCCACTCCAGTGCAAGACACGCGAGGCTGTTTTGGGGTGGACCCTGCAAGGCACAGGCGGTAAAAGGATCGTCCTCGTTGGATCAAAACAAGACGCTAACATTCTGGACTGCATCAAGTTTACCGTTTGGAGCTAGTGTATTTGACGTGCATCTGGGCTAATTTTCAAATTGGGGGCCAACCCCTCGTACAATTATGTCCCCATGTCCGAAGCGCACTTTCTGCCCCTTTCATGATGCGACGGCGACATCACCAGCCCGCAATATCACCATGGCATGGTTCATGTCCCTGGCTTTCATCCACCTGGTTTCGCTGTTTGCTTTAAGCGAAGCTAAGGTATTGAGCGACTTATCGGATGGATTCTGCCGGAGTTACAAATTCGGGGGTATGCGCCTTGATCGCCTCCACAATTGAAGATCATAGCGACTAATTGATGCAGCGAACATTGTCAACGATGTCCTGTACATGGTGGATCTCGACGGCGGCCTCATTCCCAGCGACACGAATGCATCACGTACACGCTCTCACCCCGATTGCCAAACCCGCGGTTCCCGCTAATCATCCAGCAGACAATTATCTCGTGCAACTTGACTTATCCTCCTCATTCTCGACTGACGATGGCGCGAAATATAAGATGAGCTTGGTTAACAGCGCGGTCCCGAAAATCAAGGACCAGGCAATGTGGTCAGACAAGGGCAACACTACGCTGTTTACGTATGGTGGGCGAGGCGTAGACGACACCTCGGTGGACCAGGGACTATGGACATACACGATTGCCGATGGGTCTTGGAAATTGCAGCAGACTAGTATTAAGCCGGTGCGACTACAAGGAGGGGGTAATGTGCTACTTTATCCGTGCTTGGTTGGATCATCGCATTAACATAAGCAACAGCGTACGTTGATGCGCCTCAAATCCAAGCTGCATATTGGGTAGGCGGGTATCAAGATAGCGATACGACGCCTGCCATCACCGATAAAACGGTAGACTATGCGACGGGGATGATTCAATTCAACACGACAACTGGGACCTTTACACAGTTTGATGCGCCATTCACCCCTGTACAGCAGGGCGCATTGGTATATGTTCCCGTTGGAGAGAAAGGGATCCTAGTGTTTGTGGGGGGCGAGGTTCCGTCTATCCAGAACGGTATCAATGCAACTCTGACTTCAGTGAGTGCTTGGCTGGTAGCATTGCCCAGAAACCCCTGCTAAAGCCGAATGCTAGAACCCGTGGAACCATGCATGGGTCTATGACATCGCAGGAAACAAGTGGTACAATCAAACCACATCAGGCAGCGTGGCGTCGCGAACCCAATTTTGCGCTGTTGTCGAACAAGATCTCTCGACGTCGTCGTACCAAATCTATGTGATTGGAGGAGCGGACTACGAGTCAAAGAAGTCGCTCACGGACGTGTATGTTGCAATGACTCTACGTGCTATAATTCGGCCTAGCACTAACTTACCAGTTCCTATCTATCCATCCCATCTTTCAAATGGTTTCAAGCCGGGCCTCTAAACAAGCCTCGTATGACCCACGTCTGTCAAGCATACGGACGGCAAATATTCGGCGTAGGAGGCCGGCTCGCGTGGGCGGACGACGCCGATGCAGGATGCTATGATATGCCTGCCTTTATATATGACGCTCAATCTGAAGTCATCCGGGCTCAATTTGACGTATGATCATCTGCTCTTCTCTCAAACGCTTAACATACAACTGACCCACCCACAGCCTGGATTATCGGCTTATTCAATCCCCTCCGCAACAGCCGATAACATCAAATCCTCGCCCTATCCATCAACATGGGCTGATCCAGCTTTGAAATCACTTTTTGTCCAAGAGGCTACCAACAACTCAACGGACACGCAGCCCGACCCGTCAAGCAAGGCTGACGGTTCATCAACCCACACCGGGGCGATAGTAGGTGGTGTGGTGGGTGGCGTTGCTGGTGCGGCCATCATACTGGCAGTAATCTTCTTCGTCCTGAGAAAGCGACGCCGAGACTATCAGAAGCAACCACAAGGAGAAAAGTGGTCTGAGAATGCACCACCGATAAGCCGCGTGGGAGGTGAACTGCCAGCTGAGGACCCTCGGCGGGAGTTAGATGCGCGTAGCAATACGCGCAGTGAATTACGAGGGAACGACGGGTTTGTTTACGAACTAGATGGTGGTCAACGATCCGGTGTGTAGGCTAGGTTACAACTCTGTATATGTCTTGGGGCGTCATCCGCGCACGAGGTAGTTGATAGCTAGTGTTACATGACATAGTGATATGTTTTAATGACAAATGTCTATTTCTGAGCGTCAATCAACTCAGCAGATTGATGCTGAGGACGGACATACGAGGTAACGGGGAAACTGTACTTTCGTAGCTGGAGGGTATATGTGAGTAGACATCAGACGAGGTACAGATTGACCTATAAAGCTTAATTTATTGATGTAGCAGGACCAACTCGAAATCACACTCTGGCCCACTTCTTAGCTAGAGTGGAGACTCTTACATATGGAGTAACGTTATAGCAGGGTTGACCAGCAATAGTCGGATCGGGCCTCGTCTTCCCCGGTTCATTTGTTGGTGTTGTGTTGGTTACACGGGTCCCACGATCCTACCATCTCATCTTAAAGTCTCTTGCGAATATCCCGTTCTAAGTGATCTAGCTGCTACGTATAGACCAGACCATCTTAGGCATGCACCGCCTTGTGTTTCGGACCACGGCATTGCGGCTTGTCTCACCTCCACTGTGCCATCCCTCCATCGCCAGGAGATCCTCCATTGACTTTTACTTTGTATCGTCCAATATAAGATTGTAATATAGCTAGTTGTAGAAGTCAGGCTTCTCAAGGGTTCTCAAAATTTCCCTCCTCAAGAATGGGCATGGTTCACAGCAGTTATGCGTTTGTGTGGGTGCTTATTGGCATCCTCAAACCGTGGGCAGTGAACTAATGAGGCGTAAGGGTATTATGTTGATTTAAATCAGGTCTGAAACAGAGTCTTCCCACTAGAGCTTCTTAGGAAGGTCAGTCAGCTGCATTCAGCTGGCATCATCCGTTTGCCTATGTTGTACAATGGATGCTTAGAAATAGTCTAGAATCAATTCTCGTGTAGCTTAAACAAATAAAATTAGGCGAGATTAGCCTCAGGTCCACTACCCAAGACCACAACATTATCCCAACCTCTGAGGACATTGACCTCACCATCATAACCGTGTTAAGACATCGCTTACGTAGTCCTTTCCTGAAAATATGGACCTGTTGGTACCAATATGTGCGGCCCTCTCGCCCATTAGCGTAGGCCACATGTGGCCCATTCTAACATTAACAGAGGCTGGCTCTTTTTGTGCCGTAGCTTGGCATGTATTGACGATTTTATGGAGGGAGTTCAAACAAGTTACAAAATAATACTATTAAAAACAGTCTTTTAGAAAGAATAGTTTATCTATGGTAGCGGGATATGACAATGCTAAGATCCAGGGTAGTCTAATAACATATAATACATATATTGTACAATCAATAAGTGTATCCAACAGACGCAACTGAAGCATCGCGGCCTAGCTAAGACAACTCATACACCCGAGTCCTCTCCGTGTTATCCATCTCATACACTGGTTGCTCCTGGTTTCTTTCCTGCTTTGGCACAGCTGCCAGCATAGGTTGTCGACGGCCCTGCAGCTACCACTACACGGCGAACAGGATCACAACAACTGCTGCTGCCGCCACCGCGATGGCAATGCCAGTTTTGGCTCCCGTAGACAATCCACTGCTGTCTTCCGACCAGGTCTGCGTGCTAGAGTTCGAGGCCGAGGTTGCAGGTAGCTCCTTCCACACCCCCTTCCAGCTGCTTTCCCAATCGCTAGAACTGCTCGTTACTGTATTATCGGAAGGATTGATCGTTGTCACTGCCGTGGTACCGGGGATGTTGGGACCGGGAGCCTGCGCCAGGAACCAGCTGCCCTGTTGAGGCCCCCAGTTGACGCCGACCAAAGCACCCTGCATAAATGCTCGGCCAAGCACATAGTTCCCATTTGTGCCCATGCAGGGGAAATATGGGGTAGGTTTGTCGACGAGAGGTGCATCCAACGTCAAGTTTAGCAGGGAAAATGGTACATTGATGGTGATATTTGCGTTGTTGAGCGAGTTCTTGCTGAAGGTAAACCCCAGATAGGTTGGTGCGCTCACAATCTCGGAGTAGCGCTTGTCCTCGGTGTTTCAGAAGTACAGGCCATAATCCGGACGATGGGTAACGGAGAGTTCGGCCGCGATGGCCTCGCATGTGCTGTGTGGGAGGTACATGTAGGGGCCGGCGCCGCTCGCAAAAACGGTGACGCCGTAGTTAATGGACGCGTTTCCTTGCCCGAGGGGACCGGTTTTATCTGTGCATATCCAGGGTGAGCCACCACTGACAACCCCGATTTTAGCATCGAGCAGATCAATGGAAAGGTTGCCACTCGAGTACGGTTGCGCTGAAACATCACCCAACACCCGGTTTTGGTCATAGCCGCCCAGCACTAGCGAGCCTGGTATCCCCAGGGGTACGGAGCCAATGTGCATACCGTAAGAATATGAAGGGGTGTCCTCATACTGATAGAGATAACTAGGGAGGAAGGTCGTCTCGATGGTGCGATTCCCTGTGAAGCTTTGCTTCGTGTCAGAACATCCGAGCGAGAGCACTCCCATTTCGACTTGGGAGGCTTTACCCCCTGGGTATACCTGGTAGACATCGGAGAAGGCGTTCAGCGTGATATTCGGTATTGAAAAGTCTGCAATGTTGAGCTCGTCGAACGCACGCACTGCCTTCCCATTAAGGGGCACTTCATTGCAAGTCCATGGGCCAGTTTGTCGTGTCGTTATTCATAAGAGATAACTGGATCCGTGTATTATCCCAGGTGCTGGAGAGATCACTGTTGAATAGCCCTCTCCTCGATCCACATAGCAGATGGGTGAGAGAGATACGCTCCGAGGTCGTGGGGAGGAGGATTCCACTACCCCAACTGCCCATACACGTTGATTGTTTGCTGGGGCGAACCTAGAGCGGTGCCAACTGCATGCCATGGAGCATCCCTCAGTTTGAAAATCAATCACTGGGACGAGACCATAGTACGGCTTCTCTGGAGCATTGCCTGGTTTTGCCCTCCAACCTCATTCTTTAACGGGCTGTGTACTTAGATGGCGGCGGGAGCTTGACTGTCCGCGGTGGCACCGTCGCCTGGCACTATAGAAGAATGAATACGACCCTAAAAGCAACTGAATGGAGATAAAAGTATTCTTTCAAATGCCGAGACGTGCGGATATCTGCCATCGGCCCCCTCCTATAACCACACACAGATGTCTCCTTTGTCCATTTGTCCAAATTTAGCACGTACTAGTCGTGCTGGAAGCCTATTGACAGTGAAGAACCTGTGGATCCCACCATCTAGAGCCAGTTACTATCAATTGTTCCAATGGGTGAAGTCAAAGATGTGGACATCTCGTATGGTCGGGGCGTAGTTGAAAACTTTATTCTCACACTTCAGTCTTTGTCTCGACGAAAGCGTACTTACCAAAGGCAAAGTCTATATTTAATCACAGAACTAGACGAATTAATAAATCTTGAGGCCCAATGATAGAGCAAGTCATGGATTGATACATCTATATCTGGCCTCTGTCAGTTTAGCTGACATTGTCCATCATCAAATCTGCTTTTCGGCAAGACCACCAAGACCACCACATAGGCAGCAGATTATATCTTCAACTTGCTCAATGGGTTCTGACGTTCAGATCACAGCCATGAGGGTATTTGCCTCACGGGCCGGCCGCTCCTCGATCATTGTTATCTTCATGGTTTTATTTCTTATCAGCCTTCTTAAGCTTCCCAATGGCACCTTGCGAGAGGTCTCCTTACCTGAGTTTGCCTCTTCTTTCTCTTCTTCTCTAAGCCCCCCAGCGAGTGATGTTGACTGGTCACGCTATGCCTACGTACAATATGTTACGAACACCGACTATCTCTGTAACTCAGTCATGATTTTCGAAGCCCTGTCCCGTATGAAAAGCAAAGTGGACCGATTGATGATGTTTCCATCCAACTTCAAACTGGATAACGATTCTCTGGAAGGCAAACTGCTCCTAAGAGCCCGGGACCAGTACGGCGTACAGCTCGTATCCATCACCGTCCAGAGTAGGCATACGGACGAAGGTATGTCTTGATGTATCTAGCCCCACCGCTCGGAGACAATCAGAACTGATCATGGCCAGCCACATGGGCCAAGAGCTACACGAAGCTGCTTGCATTCAACCAGACGCAGTATGATCGCGTCCTCAGTTTAGATTCGGACGCAACTGTCCTACAGGTATCCACCTCCATCCCAGCAGATAGACAGACTCTACTAACGCTGAGCACCATCCACAGCCCATGGATGAGCTATTTCTGCTGCCCCCATGTCCCGTTGCTATGCCGCGTGCTTATTGGGGCAACTTCGACGATCGCGTATTAGGCTCTTATATAATGCTGATCCAGCCGTCCGAGTTCGACTTTAACCGGGTCATGAATGCGATGGAGGCGGCGAGCGGCTCCGAGTACGATATGGAAATTGTCAACCACCTCTACCGTGACAGCGCCCTGGTACTGCCCCACCGGCCATACGGCCTGTTGACCGGAGAGTTCCGCTCAAATCACCATTCGGCATACCTAGGCAACGAGGTCGAAGTGTGGGATCCCGAACAGGTCTTGAAGGAGGCAAAGTTCCTGCATTTTTCGGACTGGCCCGTATCCAAGGCAAGTAGCGGAATACCTTGATCCACACTCCGGTTATACTCTGATGGCCTGTCTAACACACGGTTAGCCCTGGATCCGCACTCCAGAATCCATAATGCAAGAAAATCAACCTATCTGCCACAAAGATCCGCTCTCAGGCGCTGAAGACTGTCGTGCCCGCGACCTATGGCTGGGCTTCTACCGCGATTTTGCACGGAGGCGAGAGGTACGAACTGATATCTCTATGGGACAGAGCGGCCCACTAACTCAAGTACAGGAGATATGTGGAATGAGCGTTTTGAACGGAACGGAACGGACTTTGGGCAAGCGCTGGCGCTTATGAGCCCATATCCGGCTGAAGATAGGGAACACTGTCCTGGACCTGTTGATATACACTGATAGACTCTCATGTATGAGGGAATTGTTGATTGTTCTAACTAATAAAGCTATATCTACTGCCTCGGTAAATGGAGGCCTGCAATAGAATACCAGCGCGTACGCACTACACCCAAGTGTTCTAGCTGCGGTATTCTAGGCTATAAAGTTCCTTCCTCAATGCCCCAATCGTCAGAATGTTCAAACATCCTACATACATGCAGTTTTTTTGGTTTTTGAATAGATTCAGATTTTAGGACGCGCAGAATTCGGGTAGGGCTAACTCACTCACTACGCGAAACCACGGCCGATGACGTCATATCAGCTGATCCCACGAGCTCAGCAACTACCCCACACTCGCATCCGGTGTATAAAATCGATTGCGATAACTAAGTTGAGTTGGTAGATCCTGCATCGACTTTTATCACTCACCACCACCACCATGTCTAACCCTATTGTCTTCTTCGAAGTCGCCATCAACGGCGGTAAGAATCATCATGAACTGCTCATCGGCTGACTTTTACTGATCCAACTATCACCATAGCCCCCCAGGGCCGCATCGTTTTCGAGCTCTTCTCCGATGTCGTCCCCAAGACTGCTGAGAACTTCCGCGCCCTTTGCACCGGTGAGAGGGGATTCGGCTACCGGGGAAGCTCGTTCCACCGCGTGATTCCGGGTTTCATGCTGCAGGGCGGTGATTTCACACGGGGAGACGTAAACATAATCCATTTCCCGTCTGATCATCATCATCATCTAACATCTCTAGGGCACCGGCGGTCGATCCATCTACGGCGAAACATTCCCCGACGAGAACTTTGCCTTGAAGCACGATACCCCCGGTCTTCTCTCCATGGCCAACGCGGGCCCCGGCACGTAAGTTCGACCGGATCCTTCTCTTGTTGTTGTTGCTGTTGCTGGTGGCTCATGTGGAATCTAGTAATGGCTCCCAATTCTTCATCACCACCGTTGTCACCGATTGGCTCGACGGTGCCCACGTTGTCTTTGGACGTGTTGTCGAGGGCATGAACCTCGTTAAGGCGATTGAGGCCCTTGGAAGCGGCTCAGGCACTCCCCGCGGCAAAATCCAGATTATCGAGTCTGGTCAGCTGCAATGAGGGGAAAGTGTTTGACGGTTGACGTGGATGGAATATCAAGATAGGAAGAACTTTAGCCAACCAAGCTGTGGATTAAAGATAGCAACCTCTCTAGGTCGTTCATTATAGCCAATGGAGGATTTGCTAAAGTAAATTTATCTGTTCCCCCCAGATTAGAAATAGAGTTGCGCCATGGAACAACTAACCTTCCTCTTCAACAAGGTTTACAATAACAGGATGCCTTGTTAATCCTCCAAGAATGAGGAATCGTGTAGAATATGTAGACATAATTGGCATACTAGTCTATAGCGTCCAGCGCCCTATGAGACCTCTTGACTCGCTGCCAGAGGCCAGACTCCATAACAAGTTTTCGATGGACAGGGGGACGCTGAAGATGAAGAAACCGCAGGTGTTTTCGACACAGGCCCAGTACGTACATTCTTGTCGGCTTTCCGGGCATACTCGACGGTGTGATATAGACGACAACACGCTGCGATGGCAATGTGAGTCGAACGTCAATAATCAGGTTGGAGCACTCACAGAATGCCAACACCAAAAATAATCGACACACCAAGCTTCTTCTGCCAGTCCATCTGAAGACCCTGGATGATCTTCTGCGGGAGAAGGGCATGGTGACATTGGAGGTGGGGAGGGCACAGCTGTCCTTCGCGAAGATTTAGCTTAAGACTATATACCACCAATGTACATACATAAAATGAAGTGACAGTGGATGATGTAGAACGGAGTAGCTCTAGGGGGGTTATAATGACCTCAAAAAGGACTATTCACATCCATATTATAGTATTATCCTGCATAGAAGCTTAGTCTTGGTGGTTAAATTTATTCATGGGAGAAATAAAATCTAACGCAACACAACCATGGTTAAACTATGGCAATCTCGTCAACATCTATGGATATCCGCATATCCTCTCCGAAAGTTGCGCATATAGTACTCCACTTAATCTCCTCTCCATATGTGAGGATATCCAGTGGATATAAAACAGACTAAGTACAGCAAGATTTGTAAAAGGGTTCCCATACTGCTGCTCTACGGATATACTCTATCAGTACCTCCTAAGTAGCAACAACATGGGCTTTTAGCATATCTATGATTCCTTATCCTTGTCTTCTGCAGGTTCCTTTTTTTACTGGCGCGTCTTGCACTTGATAGTTTAATACTTTGTTATGGGAATAGCAAGTAGTATATTCCCTTCGCTGTCAGTGGAGTTAGGGTCTACCTATCGTGGACTCAGTCGACGAAGCAGTGAAAATGAGGTTCTTACTTGCACACGTCCATACAGAATATCCATCCTCTCAGATAGAGACTAGCTTTAACGTACGAAAAGCCAGGGCTGTATAACAGAGAATGACGTCACACTTAGTTGCCCAGATCAGTCTAGAGACACTGGACTTGGGAAACTACAGCCTTGGATTGGTGTGCTGCAGTTCAGACATGCTGACAACCACCTTGAGAGATCCGGATTTGGAAGGTGTCTGAAACGTCTCATAGGCCTTGTGTATCTGATCAAACGAGAAATCTGTGGCACACGTCAGCTTAGAACCACCTTGGATAAATACAATGGCCAGCATACTGTGCGAAACCAGGAAGTGAGGGTGAATCTTGCCCGACTCCACAAGCTTCAGTAGATCGGGGGTAGTGCACGCATCGACCAGCCGAGTTCTAAGACCTGTCCCATAGTTCAGCAATACCCAAGTCCTAGCAGACAAAGTTAGACATACAGATATTGCGATGCCAGAGTTCTTCCAAATGCAGAGCGCAGGGTGTCCCAAACACTCCCAAACTGGCTATCGTCCCGCCGGGACCGACTAACGCCTGAGCGAGCTCAAACGAGTCGGCAGTCCCCACTGCTTCGATCACCACGTCGAATCCCTGGTTATTTGTCACTGCGAGCGCAGAAGAGACGGCATCTGCCTGCCCCCCAAGCACACTGATTGCGTGATCTGCGCCCATCTCCTTTGCTGTGTCGAGCCTGGGCCGCCCCCTGCCGACTACGGCGGTCATGGAGGGTCCGAAAAGATTCCGTGCCATCTGAAGCGCCATCAGGCCGATTGGGCCCGTCCCGATGATAGCAACGGTTGATCCGGGCTGGATCTCACCGTTAAGAATGCCGCATTCATACGCAGTAGGAAGAACATCAGACAAGGTTACGGCAACTTTGGGATCGAGCCCGCTCGGGAGCGCATGCAGCGAGAACGATGCGTGGGGTATCCGTACGTATTCTGCCTGCGTACCGTCGATGGTGTTGCCCAGAATCCAGCCGCCAGAAGTACATTGGGAGGGCATTCGTTTGCGGCAGAAATTGCAGGATCCACACGATGTGATGCAAGAGATTAGGACGGGCTGTCCGACAGAAAAGCGTGTGACACCGGTCCCCAAAGATTCAATTATGCCAACGCCTTCGTGGCCGAGGATACGTCCGGGTGTGCATGTCTGAACGTGGCCTTGTAGAATATGCAGGTCTGTTCCGCAGATGGTGGTGTGTTGGACTTTGACAATGGCATCAGTGGGCTCTAGGAGGCATGGCTTTGGACGTTCCTCGACCGAGATGGTGTCCTTTCCGGTGTAAATGACTGCTCTCATCGTTTCAGGTGCTTGGTTTTGCCTAGGTCTAGGTATATTCAAGACTCGTATCAATTGCAAAGGATCAAAGCTAGCTCACTGTAGAATCTTAGCGCACTCCCGATGGAAAACCTTCAGAGTACTCATCCTCCCTTGCGGGAAAATGCCACCTGTTATAAGGAGGGGCGCTGGGTACGACAGCTAAACAGATTAATCCTTCACCGAGCTACTAATGCCCACATAGCTGCCCCTGATATCTACCGTCACTACCATTGGGTAGCACTGCCACACCTGTGAACCCGTGCTGCAGAATGACCTGGACTCTAGAGATCTAGACCACCATGTGTTCACTGCGTCAAAGTAGTAGCGATAGCCGATCAATGAGTGGTTGCCAGATATTTAGAAAGTCCTGGTGCAACATTATGCAGCTTACGATTGCGCTAAGGCGGTAGTCTTTCCATGATCCCCAGTCGGTTTCCATGGAGGTCACTTAGTGCAGCTTCTAGGTCCAAGCTAGTCACCATTAGGGCAAAGTCCTCGTCGCCGCAACCCGAGGCACGCATCGTCACATGAGCTTCTGCATGAAGACACGCACAACGTGCTTCCCACATCCATTATCTGCGGCTGTCACACTCCTAACCCCGAGTCGTTGGTCTAAGTGACATACATGCCTTGGCGTAGTCACTGTATACAATTCACCGGACTCGGACAGATTCTAGAAATGGACGTTCTACGAATTCCAGCTATATATATCACCAAGGATCAGGTGAAATCATTTTAACAAGAACAAAAGTAGCATTTTTCTACTGTATGCCCAGCATATATTAAAGTCAGAGAGCATTAGGAGAAGAACAGCCTCCATGCAGATCTAGCTTCTGTTTTATTTTTACCTGACATGGCATTTTCTAGCGGACACAAGTACCAAAAGAAGAACTCTTGTAATTTTCAGTTACCGGCATATTTAACTTGTTCTTCCCAGATGTCATCGGCAAATCCACGTTCACAAGACCTCAAATCTCAGATCTGGCTACTAAAACAGACTACTGCATATACGAGAGAGCCTGCACATATTGTTCGGAAATTACCACAGCAAGGACAATATCAAACCCAGCTAACATCCACAGCTTCGCATGTGCCCGCAATAAAGTGCGACGTCGATAGCATAGTAGGAGACGTGATTAGCACAGACTAGGAAACCTGAACTCGGTTGCGATCACTTACCATGGTTAGAAGTTTGCCCACTGCTAATCTCCGACAACGCCATCGGAGAGTCATACTTTGCCCTTAAATTAGTGAGTGTCAGGAAACTGGTTCTGAGGAGAATACTAGTTTACTGAATTGGCATGTAAGCCAGAGCGAGTGCCCCCAGCCCTGATGGCTAGTAATTTCCCCAGTAGGATGTTTCGCTCCCTGATAAGCAGTGATAACACTCGAATGTCATGAGCGAGCGAGTTGATTATGTTGGTGCTATTTCAGGGAGCAGTTAGAAGCTTTTTGTTCGTGGCTGGGTCTTGATTGTGAGAGAGTCTTGTCGGGAATCTTGATTGAGATTCATCCTCAGACGGAAGATCATACCCAAAGATGTGTAGTAATCGACGGCTGCTCAGCGATAAGTAAGCTCGGTCACAGGAGTTAGGGGCTCAGCTATCATGTATAAGAGCTCTGCTAGTAGGTTGGCTAGATTAGAAGATGTTGAGTTCGGCGACTTGATCTGTGTAGATCGGAGGTGCAAGTAGGATAGCATCCAACCGAGGAGGTCTGTGGCGATGCCTATTTTGTTCAGGCCTACAGCTGCGACATGAGAGATAAGACGAGGGCAAGAGTATTGAGGATGAGAGGGGGCTATAGACAAGCATTTGGCTACCGTGGGATTCTGTGACATCGATCCTTCGACTTAGATTACCATACACTTGTCGTTGCCGCTTTCCAACACTACACCTCTCTGTCTTTACAATAAAATCATCGTTTCATATCGTTCGATTTCTTAGGTTAAATAAGATGTTTTAGTAGATAGTGATTGGGGCAACCGGGTTAGGGCAAAGGCAAGGTTACACGGCTTCTGAGCACGTGCTGTACACAGACTTTCAAGTCTTTTTGTTTTTGTTTTTTTTTTTTTTAATTCAACTCCCACGGTTTGACGCATCAGGAGGCTACCGGTGAAATAGACGCTATCGATTACAGGGAAACCATACGAAACTGAGAAGGAAATAGAAAGTACCAAGTGGATGGTGAACCTTGAATTTGCTCACTGAGCAGAGTGGTACAACCCTATTATAGCAGCAACATAAACCTGAAAGGAGATCCTGTCTCAAATATGTACACAGTACATCTGAATATAAACGATATCTAGCAAACGCCGTGAGTCTTTCCGTGCTTACCCTGCAGGGAGTGCGTCTCTCCCTTGTAGTGAGGGTGGTTGTGCTTGGACTTGTGCGAGTGGGTGGAGTGTATGCGGACGTGGCTGTTTCAATCAATCTCAGTTAACAAGCAATGGAAACAAATGTATAAAGGTTTCTTACTGGGTGTACTTCTCCAACATAGCCTGATCCATATCACTCAACGTCTTCAGGCCCAGCTTGATGTCATTAAGCAGCGCGTCGCACCGGCTCTTTGTGAAATCCTCACGAACAACCACACGCATGAGCTTCAGGCTGTTGCTGTTGGGCGCCATCGTATACGCCGGGACGATCCAGCCACGCTCACGCAGCTGGTGTGCCAGGGCAAACTCGTCGAAGTGACCCTCCCGCTCAGCAGGCAGTCTGAAAGCGACCAATGGGAGACCGTGGCCGCGACGCTGGCTCATGATGATAAAGCCCATCTTCTCGAGCTCTTGGGCCAAAAAGTCCGCAGTAACAGTAATGTTGGTCATGATGGAGCGGTAGCCACGCTTCCCGAGGCGGATCATCTGGTAATACTGGCCGATGACCTGAGATGCACCCTTCGAGAAGTTCAGGGTAAAGCTGGCCTGTTCAGCTCCTAGGTAGTTGATGTTGAAAATCAGATCCTTGGGGAGATATTCCGGGGACCGCCAGACGACCCAACCCACACCAGGGTAAACCAGACCATACTTGTGGCCAGACACGTTGATCGAAACGACCTTTTCAAGTCGGAAATCCCATTCCAACTTAGGGTTGATGAAAGGAGCGACGAAGCCACCGCTAGCAGCGTCAACATGGATGGGAACATCCATGTTGCGTTCGATCAGGAGGTCATTGATTGCCTTGACGTCTTCATACTCACCGGTGTAGGTGGTACCGAGGATAGCGCAAATACCGATGGTATTCTCATCGACCAGGTCAACCGCCTGCTGGGGATCAATCACATAGCGGTCCTCAGTGCAGTACACGTATCGCTCCTCGACATCAAAGTAACGTGCGGCTTTCTCCCAGCACACCTGTACGGCGCTGTTCATGACGATATTAGGGCGAGAATAGTCCTTGCCTTCGGCCTTGCGCTTGTTTTGCCAACGGCGCTTCATAGCCAAAGTACCCAGCATGATGGCCTCGGACGATCCAATGGTTGAGGTGCCCATCGGGTGCTCGTCTTCGCTGTCAACAGGCGCGTTGAACAGACGGGCGATCATATTGACGCAACGGTTCTGGATCTCCGCCGACTGAGGATACTCCTCATAATCGATGAAGTTCTTGCTGAAGGATTCAGTCATGAGCTTTTCAGCTTCATCTTCCTGCTACCATTAGCATGGGCCCTCATGGTCATTTAAGTGGGAAAATTGTTACCATGTAGGTTGTGACGAAACTCGCCAAGCTATGCTTATTAGTATCAATAGTATGAACCCGCGGAGACGAGAAATAAAGGCCTACTTGAGCATTGGATTTCCATCGAGACTCAGCTCGTCCTTGATCATGCGATAGGCGACCTCCCTGGGCATCTCCCGCTCCGGCATCTCAGTCTGAGGCAGCTGTTCTGTTGCGAACCGCGTTCCGTAGACGCTAGAGTAGAATCCATCTTCGTCGGTGTTCTCCAATTGAATAGAGTCGACACGCTTGATGGTGTTATCGAGATCACCGTTGCGGTGGACTTGAGCGAGGTGAACCATGATTGCGGTGGATTATGCCAGATATATTAGACAGGAATTCACCAGGAATATAGAAGCGAGAAGAGAGAACGAGGAGCAGGAAGGCGCGCTTTTAGCACTCCGCGAGCGGCACGATCCGAGCTCAATCAGGCAACCTGGTCAGGAGGAGGGGCAACCGCGACGACTGGCTGTTGTTCCACAGGCGAGGTTTAGGCCTTCGCTAGCCCTGCAGGCGGCGATCAGTAGCCATACAGATCGCTCGCCCGGACGGTCGCCGGCCACCCTGGATTACGCAGTTTTCAGCTCGTGGCGCAGCAAGTGGGTGAGGAGATCACCACGTTGGCGGGCGAATCGCGAAGGCTGGCTCAGGGGCCCAATGATTCAAAGCTTACTCGGAGTCGAGAAAGCTTGGCCTAGAATTGTGCATCAGTGGATGGATCGTGAATTGGTGGATATTCTCCGCTATTGATTCTCTCGGTTATTAGTTCCTGGTAAATCCCTCGTGGGGCCGTGGAGTCTCACCGGCAACTTGCCTCTGCGACTTTTGCCCCTGATCTGATTCCTGGAAATTGTCGACGTTATTGTCATCATGAGGGCATCGACGTATTGAATGGGGAGGGGAACAAAGAGGGTCAACTGTTAAACTATTTGTCCTGGGGTCTGGACTATTGAAAGAGACTATTGAGGATGCAGGTATGAAAGAGGAAATGGCAGCATCCGACAAACCCGTGACCCCACCTGACTTGTTTCAACCCTTGTTCTCCGTTACATTTCATTGTCCCGGTTGACGACTGGTGGGGAATTGCAGGACAAAACAAATATCGGTGAGGATAATAAATTCTTTATCTTTCTTTTCAGACTAAGGCATCGCCGCGGAAAGTGCCATTCATCTCCTACAAAGTATCGCCATTATGGCATTCGCCCTCTTGTTACCTACGTCATCGCGGCACTTGCCTGTAGTCTCGCGCATCTCGATGACTTGTTCCAATCCACAGCCTCGCACTGCTTAATACAGTGGGAGTCCCGATAAAACTGGGCAGTTTTAGCAATATCCCAGTGGAGATCCTTCTCCAAATCGCCCGTTTACTGGACACCAAACATCTCAGCAATGTATTAGCAACATGTACCTCCATCGCATTTCATTGTCGCCGTCTAGTAACACTACCGAATCTTATATCTGTTGTTGAAAATGTCGACATTGACAGTCTCAAGAACCTCCTGATAGCCGGGATAGACCCTAACTTCACTGGCAGCGAAGGGTACACACTACTCGCTCTGGCCATGATACAGTTTAGCGACGACATGTCCCGGTATAGCAGACCGTTTTGTTTTGAGAAAACGACGCCTGGGAAATATAAGAGATTTGCTAAATTTATCATGCTCTTACTACAGTATAATGCTGATCCATCTATACCAAACGATGATAACAAGCTGCCGCTCGATTTTGCTACCTTCGATCTTTTGGATGACGAGGGAGTCTGTCACGCTCTATACGATAAAGGGGCCAAAACCACCGACTTTCCTACTTTCACCAGCGTATGCGCATATCAGAGCATCCTATGCATCAAGAAGCTTGTTGGCAACGCAACCAACATAGCCGGTGCATGGGACAGCTACGGCCAAGACCTCACAATATTACATTCTGTAATGATGAGCTCCAGCTTTCAGCATCCGTACGAACTAATCAGTGCTATACTTACTTCTAGAAAATGCACCTGAGCTCGTAGATAAGCCGGCGAATGAGGGAAGAACGCCTCTTCATTGTGCTGCAACAAGGGGTAGCGAGGAACTTGTCTGCTACTTAATAAGGGGGCCAACGCCGAGGCGTTTAGCTTGTACCACAAAACCCCATTACTCTATGCAGTGAGTGCTAGAGCTGTAGGTATACTTAACTAGTAAGACAACTACTTACCAAGATAAGTAGCATAAGTCCAACAGCACCACCTCCAGGTTACCTGTCACCATTATTACAAGCGCTCGATGATGCACAGAATGAGTTTCGCCCCCAGTCGCTTCAAATTGCGAGGGTTTTACTCGAGTATGATAGAACACTGCTGGACGATGAATGCAAAGCATGGATCGAAGAGAGACGCTCGTGGCAGATGCCAGCCGAGTACCATGAGGACTTCAAAGCGATTGCATGGATTGCGGAGATTTCGCAGGAGCAAGCGACTAACCCGTCTCATTCAGGAGGCTAAGAACATGGGATGCTCCTACGTTTTCCCATCTATCTTTTCATTATTATAACTTTAGGTGTTCGGGTTATACTTGCTCTTCGTTCTTAGACTGCACTGTTCTAGTGAATTTCAATCGTGGAAGTTAATTTACCTATAGTTCAGGTCAAGCCGATTGCTACTACGACCGGCGTGTTTCAGGTCGAATAGATACATTGAAACCATAGCGTAATTAAACTCTATATGAGAGTAGTTAATATTGCAGTGGTTTATCCCCTAGCGAGGTCTTTATACCAAGATATAACAAGGCTCTTTCTTATTCTTCACTTACAGAAAGAACATCCTCCAGCACCAAAGTAATTTTACAACAAGAGCCCCAGAAAGAAAGAAAGAAAGACAAATCAAAGGAAAGCTAAAATATCATCCAGTCTTATACTAGTAGTAAGTAAGCCATGGGGTCAATAGTGAACCCCGCTAGTGACACTACAGCCCATAGAAGAGCAATAAACCCCCTATTCCTCGACTCCATATTTAGATCGTCCGTCAGTTCGATATACTGCGGCCACCATTCCCGAACGAATGAAGACCGCCCCGCTCGGCTTTTCGTAGCGGTTCTCCGATATACATGCCCAGATGGGGAGAGATCTTAGACGGGAGGGTAAAAATAGATATCAGATCCGGAGGATGTGGACTAGTAGTATCATGATGAGTCCTGCATGTCAAAAGTACGGGCAAATGGCGGTGAATGGCACCAGGTCAGATATCAGCCCATTGCATTTCCAGGAGAATTTTTCCAGAACAGCACGAATACAAGGGGAAAAGCGAGAAACAAAAAGAAAGAGAAAGAAATTTCTTGATTATCATTAACTAATAGCAGAACAGGCAATTGCTTTACAACCAACACGACAGAATGTCCATCCCATCCAACCCGTCCGCCATCCTTTTGGTATCCATCCTATCACGTCGATTATCATACACGCCATTGACATACATGAAGATATATCACTTGAATATATTTTTTTTTCCGTTGTTTTCGGTTTTCTCTCTTGAACCAACCCTCTTGGGTCCGTGGGTATCAGGAAATAGGGTCTCCGTGGGCTTCCATCCCATCCGTCAAATAGCCAAAATAAAAACAAAACGACAACAGAGGAAGATATCAGTCTGTTCCTTCCGTTAGGCCTTTTCGCCCTTGAGCTTACGCTTGAACCATCCGAAGAAGCCGCTCTTGCGCTTCTCTAGCTTGGCAGCCTCGGCCTTGGCAGTTTCTTGCGCCTGAGCTTGCGCCTTGCTGGCTTCGGTCTTCACTGCCTCCTTGCCCTGGTCGATAAGACTCTTGCCTTCCTCCGGCTTGCTGGTGGTGTCGGCCGGCGCGGCCTGTGCGGCCTGAGGTTCCTTCGTCTTGGCCTCTTCGGGTTTCTTGATGTCCTCCGACTGCAACTCCTCCGGCTTCTTGGCCGTGGCAGCACTTTCCTCCTGAGCATCCTGTACTGCACGGGGCTCCTTGGTTTTGGCTTCTTCCGGCTTCTGAATCTCCTCCGGCTGCTTTGCGGCGCCGGTACCCGCTTCCTGTGCCTCCTTGGCAACGGGTTGACTCTCGGGCAGCTGGTCCTTGACTGCTGCGGTGCCCTCCTGCACCTCGGCGGCCGGTTGGCTCTCTTCAGGGATGGTGTCCTTGAGAGCAGCCTGGGGACTGTCGGACACGCCCTGAGTTTCCTGTTCCACCTTGGACACGGTTTGGTCGGCAGCGGACTGGTTGGCAGAAGTAACCTTCGAGTCGGGGCCCTCGTGAATGCTGGAGGGAACCTTAAGGACTGGTTCAGCGGCAGGAGCTGGAGCAGAGGTTGCCGTGCCAGTACCGGCGCCAGCGGTTGCAGATGCGGCGTTGGCGGTCGAGTCGGTTGCTAAAGGAGCAGTTGCGCCGGAAGGAGTCGCTGTCTCTGTGGCAACGATCTCTGAAGGAGCTGCGGCGGCAGTCAGCTCGGTTTTAGACGGAGCCTCCGGTTCGCTGGTAACAACTGCTGCAGCGGTGGCGGGAGGCTCGCTCGCGACCGTCTCCTCTGCCTTCGAAACTTCAGAGTCTTTGGGCTGCTCAACAAGATCGGCTTTGCCGGCAGAAGTGGGGGCTCCGGTTGGAGCAATGTCCTCTGCGCCGTTGGGTTCGGTGGCGACCGTCTTCTCCTCCGCCGTAGAGACCTCAGAGTCCTTGGGTTTCTCAGTAGCATCAGCGCTGATATCAGAGGTAGGGGCTCCCGTTGGGGCAATGTCCTCTGCGCCTTTGGGCTCGGTAGAGGTGCTAGAGACAGGAACAGCCGATGCCACAGCAGTCGAGGTGGCCGTAGACTTCTCCTCAGACGTCTCCTCCACGGAAGACAGACCAGGGACATTCAGGACGGTTGACACATAATCGTTAGGGTCAGCACCAAGGCCTGGCACAATCTGAGGCTGCACGCTACCCGTGTCGGCGGGAACTTCAGGTTTCCTCGCCAAGGATCCCGTCTCAGCAACATGACCAGAGGTTGCACCCGCAGCCGCAACGGTATCATCCACCTTCGCGATCTTATGGGGCAATTCATCGTCCTTGGCCGTCAGACTGCCCTCGTATGGCCGTTTAGCATGGGTATCGAAAGTGTCTGCCACGGTCTCTTTCGGGCGCTCGGGGAGGGAGGTTTCCGTTCCAGCAGTTGGGGCCAGATTCTCAGGGGTCAATTTGAGCGGTTCCTCGGTCACGGACGATTCGACTGTGAAAAGAAAGGGTTAGGCTAGGAATATTGTGTGGAAAACAAACAAATACGCTACTTACTTGCTCCGATTGCCTCTCCATTAGGCAACGCAGCCTTGTCAGCCAGGCCGGTCTCCGCCTTGTTTACAGCGTCCTGCAAAATCTCTCTAGCCTCTTCAGTGGAGGCCGGCGGGGCGGCTGAGGGAATATTGGTAGTCGCATCGGGAACAGTGGTGGTAGGGCCCGCCGTGGCGGCCTCAATAGGTTCAGTGACAACATCGCTGACCTCGCCTTCTCCCTTCGCAACAGTCTCCTCAACTTCATGACCAGGGGTCCTGCGCAGGTGTCAGTATAGCTGCAGAGACGCGCGACCGTCCCTCCCGGAAAGATCCGGTGCGGGCGAGTGCGAAGTGCGACTTACACGGGGTTCTGAATATCAGTGGCCTTCTTGGTCGCAGCGGCGGCGGCACCACCAGCCTTGCCGCCCTTGTTCTTGTTCTTACTCTTTCCTCCTTTCTTGGGCATGGTGGTCGACGATAATCTGGTTGCGAGCGGGGGGTTAGAGAGGGTTGGGGCACGTATCGATGACGACAAGAGGTTGCGCGGGGTTCCGAGGGTCGCATGGAGACTTACAGTAGGGTCGAGACTGATGGAGGATGGAAGGTTGATACAGAATTGAGGCGTTGGGCGACTCAATTCAAGCGGTGGCAGTCTGGAAACGGACAGGTTGCGTGGAATCAGGGGTGGGTGAAGGTCTGCCTGGTATGTTGGTTCCTTCCGAATGCTAATTAATTCGTTCGGGGAACGTTATTCCGCGATGGTCGGGAGGGTAGTCCACCAAACAATAATTGTCCCCCCGTCGCGAGATGTCTTTGACTAGCTCGTGTTGTAGTTGCAATAGAGGAGAGTGAGAACAAAGGGCGTCGAGCTCCAAATTGACAATCGCCAACCATGCAGCCAAAGTAAACATTGACCACACACTGGTCACGCGCCGGTCACATGAGGCGCATCCAAGGGACACTTTCGATCCTTGCGCGCTACAGAAACTTGTTTTCTAAGGGCAATTGACACCAGAAATGGCTGGAAGGGAGAGCAATCGAAATTGCGATTATCGCCTTGTCAAAAATGCTTAACAATTACAGGGGAATCGTTCCAGTTTACAGCCATGGTTACTCGTTCTCATCGTCTTGCTGCCCGCATCGTTCGGGAACAAGCAACTTGCCTCCCCTCCAATTGACATGATATCTATTCAATTAACCCTAAAGACGGACTCAACCGATCCGCTGGTTTCAGATGATTGATGCGATCATGCTATTGGAAATTTCCGAAGGGGGATCTCAGCCGCTGAGAGGCATTATCTGAATTCGAAGCAGTCCGCTGTTTTCGGTGGCGGCGATCCGCGGTGTGCCTGCAGTAGCTGGACTCTTAGCAAGGCTGGGGTACAGTTAACCCTACCTCGGCTTATTGTTGTTCCGGCAGAACGACGTTTCCGGGTAGGGTAAGTTTGCACTTGACCTAGCCACCTCACAGGAAATTGGTAGCACGTGACCAATACAGGCGGACTGCGCAGGGAGACGGGGACTGATCGTTGGACTTGATCCTTATGCGATCAGGATATGTCGGTGTATGTTCAGTGACAATACAGGGACACATTTGACAAGGCTACACTGTCTTTCGAGGCATGCCGCATATACTCGTAGAGAGCTTGGTCGACAAGCGAGTTACATCACCAAAAATGTGTGCGGCCTATCAACTTAAAATAGTCTCTTTGCCCAGAATGTGTGGCCTTCGGGTTACGTAGAGCTAAGTCTCAATAGACCAGACAGGGATGGCAGTGTGCGCCTTGCAGGGCTTGACATGGGTTAACAGTCAAGGTTCAATGACTAAGTTGATGTTCACTGAGTGAGACACAGCCAGCCAACGGACAGAAGTTACGCATGGTTACTTCGCCTCGATATTACTAGTGTCCCTTACCGGTCGTCATGTGAAGCATTGTCCAATGATGCGTATAAGATGCATTAATGCCTAAAGACAAGTTGAAGAATCTGAATGTTCCAGAAGGTCAACATGGGTGACATCATCGGCGATACGCAGCTGAGTGCCCAACAAAGGCTCCGTGAGCCCCTTGCAGCCACGGCAGAATCGGACTAGAGCACTCGAGTAATTATCTCCAAAGGGAAATAAATATATAAAAAAAAAAGAGAGAGAGAGAGAAAGAGAAAGAAAGACCAAGGAAAAAAGAGGTAGTGCGTGAATGACGCAGTACAAAAAGTTTGACCGACGCAGGGATCGAACCTGCAATCTCTTGATTCGTAGTCAAGCGCCTTGCCATTGGGCCAGCCGGCCTATTTGTTGAAAGAAGTGAGCGATATTTGCCTACATAAAGCAAAGAAATATTGTTCACTAGCAACACGGAAACAGCGTGCCGAGTGGGGAACGCCGACGGGTCCGCCGGGATTAGCATCCCAGACATATCACTTGCCCACCACCCACTTATCATCAATCACATTATTGATGGATATTAGCAAAAATTACTAGTTGCCTCTAGTCGCTGTATACCCACTGCGCCAACGCCATTGACGGCATAGTGGGCTTTGAACGACGATGGGAAGCGTGGTCGGAGTCACCGCCCCGGCCAAGGATTGACGTTGCATACATGAACGAACAATGATGGCGATATGAGTCGCATGGACTACGGTAAAGATAGATAACAATAATGTTTATGCGGCCGCATGTTACATCCGGGTGACACTCGGGTTCTTCAAAGTCTACGGTTCCTTGGGTTGGCTGGCTCGGTGGTGGCACGTCGATCGGTCCGGCTTGGCCGAGAGACGTTCTGGAATTCTTCGCTGCAGGACACGACAGCATTGCATTCCTCTGGCTTTTTTCAGTCATGGGTGTGCCATTGCCACCCCATTATGCTGCAGGTGGGCGAACCACCAATACCGCGCGTCAGGGAGGGCAACCAGTTGTCATTCTTGAACATGGTAATTTATCTTTCCTTCTGATTGGGAGTTTCAAGAGCGAGAATCCTTTGCAACCCATCGACGGCCAGGAATGCTTGGCCAGCGGCGAACCACCCGAGAAAACGTAACCATGGTAGGATTGGTGGGAAAGGGTAGTACCTTTCCTTGATGCACACATTGCACACAACACAGGTCGGCGCAACCCGATGATTTCTGTTTGATTGTAAACGGGGCGAGAAAAGGTAATCAATCGGCTAGGGTTGGGAGACATCCGGGCATCGGCCATCGCTGAACCCTTGCGGCATTTCTTTTCACATTGAAAGCCTTGCTGGGCAGGAAAACAGTTGGCCTGGCGGTCACAGTCATCATCATATTAATTATTATTGGCCCCCAGATAAGCCGTCAGATTCCTCCAAGTGGTAAACTCTCCAGTGACTCTTGACTTTATCGAGGACCTATGGCATTCACAATGCGATAGGTAAATCGACTAAACCATTCGGGAAAACCGGATCATGGTCTGGATTCCAGTACTGTATTGTGTAATGTGCGCACGCACGCACACACGGAGAGAGAGAGATAGAGAGAGAGAAATAGTGCTAATGAAATCTCCACGTTGACTTGACGCCCCTCTTTTTCTGATTGTCTCACCGGATGAAGTGATGGCTTATCGCGGCTTAGAGCGCCGGACTAAACCCAGAAGGGAAGTAGACGATAACCTTAGACCCGGTTAATACGGTAAAGTCGGGTATGCCTCGTCGTCTGGTATTCCAGTACCTGGTACGCACACCCCCCCGGTCATGCCCGCTGAACCAATGATCACCGTCCTTTTGCATTTCGCTCCTAATGAAAATTCCCCCAAACCCATGAAATCATTGGTATGATTCATGTAACCAACTGTTGGAGTGGGATTCCGTCGATGTTCCGTAGTTTACCACTTAACCTGTCTGAGCTATATTCCTTCCAACGCCCCCCCCCCCCAAACCTGTATCTATTCTATGACTTCCTGTGCTCTCTCTCTCTCTCTCTCTCTCTTTTCTATTTCTTCCTCCCATTCCTAGTTCACACCAACCTCCTTCCTTCATACCCGTCTATGCAAACGATGATATCACAGTTTGTCCGTAATCACGACTGTCGCTTGTGCTTGCACGCTCTCCCTCGCGTCCATTCCCTTCTCGGGAAAGGTCTGCTGCTGTGAGTTGCTGACGGGATCTGACGCTTGTTCCCATACATCGAACTATACACACCGGATCAACCATTTGATTGTGCACACGGGAAATAGGAGGGCTTTTCGGTACTGCTCGCCAACATGAGTCTTCGCGAAAAGGTTCGCAGAGTGTTTCGTCGCTCGTCTAGCGGTTCGAAATCGAAGGACAATTCCAATCCCATCAAGATCGAGTATTACAAGCGCCATGAAATTCCGCCGTCCAAGTTCAAGGGCCCATTTGACCGCGAGCACCAAAAAAGGCTGGCGGCATGGTCCTTTGGCGACGCCCAGGACGAACGTCCCCGTTCCCCGGATCTCTCTTTGTCCCCTTGCGCATCGTTGCCCGGCTATTTGAGGCCTCGTGTCCAGGAGGATAGTGTGGCTCCTGACGAGGTTCCCTCGGTTGCCCCAGAGGATTTGTCTGATGGTACGTAACCCTCCCCTTCCTAGTGTCTCCCTTGCCGCATTCTTAATTCTTAACCCCCACGTGCTTGACCGTTGTCTAACATGGACTAGCATCCGCCACGATCTCCGACGACGAGCGCCAGGAGAACAGTGGATCCACCTCCTCGACCGCTTATGACCCGGACAGCTACAGCAGCTCCATGATGACTCTCTTCGACGAAGTTATCCGACAGGCTCGATCGCCCACCTCAAGGAGACGATCCGCTACACGTCACCCGTGGTCCGGGCCATCTCCCCACCCCCACTGTCCCCCAAGGGCAGCTACATGCCGTTCGCCCCCGAAGATTTGACCCGTGCTTTGAACGCCGTGCAAATCTGTGGTTAACCTGACTTCTGGCCAAGTCAATTCCCTCTTCATTTCTTACGTCACGTGAGCGTCCGACCACACGGCGCTTCCCTACTCGGACCCTTTTCTCATATTTTAATCTTCGACGACCCTGGTGTGCGCTTCCCTTCTTCCCGCCCTATTTCTCCCGAGTAGTGTGACGGTTGGTCATGATTCGCGATGACCCGATTTACGAGGACCACTTTTTATGCGGCTTTGACGCGAGGGGGCAAAACCTAATTACCCCCCCCAACCTGGGCCTCCACTGCCTCCATCCATGCATGCAACGAGCGATGTTTTCCAAAAGCGAACGGTTTCCCGTGTATTGTCCTTTGAGCGTATACCCGTTTGAGGTTTTGAATTTTTTTCCCCCGGGTTCCCGGGGTGGATTGTACTGTATGTACATGATTATTAGACGAATAGAATCAGTGTACCAACAACAAGCCCTTTTTTTTTCCGCGGAGTAAGCCCAGCCAAGCAAAGTACGGACCTGCATGAAAAAGAACCGGCTTCTAGACTCTTCCCCTCACCGAACAGTTCAATCAAGCTTCGAGTAAAACCATGGGATGTTAATCATTCCCGCCAAGACAATAGACCGACAACCGACTCGACCCAACGTCGATCCGCGTAACCCAGAATGTCAGTCACGCGATGCCACTGCCAATAAGGTGAAGACCGTTATCGCATTATTGGTCTGGCTTTAGGGACGCCTGGTTTGATCGTCGGCAGCGGTGGAAATAGACTCGACGTCCGTTGCGAGGCTAACTTTATGCTTCGTTGCACTTCGGCTGATACCCTGCTTGTCATGTTGATTAGGATGTAACTCTGTTCCAAGGTTCCTTTCGAATTATCTCCACTGTTGTCATGAAATGACGTACAGCCCTAAGCATATTTGGCAAAAAGATCCAAAGACGGGGCGATTAAGTTCCAGTGGTTTGTTCGATACACTTGTCGCCGCTTTAATGGTAGCAGCACGTGAGCATCCAGATTCGTTCACATGTTGTAGCTTTCCACCCGGACACGAATTCAAGCCCTCAAACTCATCAGTGGAGAACTATCTTAACTTTCTTCTTGAATACGTACTGTACATTGTACATGTCATCCTCAACACTCACCCCCAGACTGTGTCACTCAGCATTCACAACTCCCCCAAATATAGTCTCCGTCTACTATCATCCTATCAATATCCATCTCCACCCACGCATAGAAAGCTCTATAATAAATAAACGAAAGACTGTTCATACCACTCCATCGAGCTTAGAACTACTCCCAACAATTACCGATTCATCCAGCAACGCTCAACACATGAAACCCACGCTCTGAACAGTGGAGTAAGACCAGCACCATGTCCCGTACAGACCAGAAGATATAAAGTTTAGCAACCTTGATACTCTTACTCTTTCCAAAGCACACCATCCACATTGGACCTTGTTATCCATTGCTAAGGGGCATATTTTAATCTAGAAGCACACCGAAGACTAAGTGAACAAGACCAGAACAATATCTGCACTCCAGTGTGGCCTTTCTAAATGCCGAAGGCAAGATATGTAGTATAGGTGTGTGGAACGAGCTCTAGGGAACCATTTGAGCAGCTACCCTAAACTTGTGTGGAGGACAAAGTACTCCGTGTAATCGATTGTGTAATCAAATGAGGTCCAGATTTCTCCTCAGTTCCGGTGTAATTCCGTTAGGGGAATTAGGGACTGTCGGCGCATATCGTCAAGGTAATTATAATTTAAAGCTTTGGACTAGGGCAGAATGTGTGTGTGTGTGTGTGTGTGTGTGTGTGTGTTCTCATGTAGAGGCCACCTGCTATACCTGTGGCTCAAGATGCAATAAATCTCCAAGGTCGTATATTAATGTCGACTGTTATATTTAATAGGCTTACCCCGTCAAGTTGATCTAGGTGATCACTCCGGATTATTCTTCCGGTTTACTGTACATTTTCCATAAACACAAGTAAGCAGCTAATGCACAATTTGTTAACAAGGGATACAGAGATTGCTACAACTCCAACCAGGAAACGTATAGAGAATGGAATAACGGGAGGTTAGATGCTGGGATATACACTTTATTCTATTTCTTACATGGCCCTCTGAGAGCGGGAGTGAATAGCAGAATGGACCCTCTGATTGAACTCCCATGGTATATACTAGTATTCATAGCCGGTTTTCAGACGAGTACCCTTAAAATAACATTTGGTAGTGATATTTCTGTGCGTCTAGATATGGTTTCTAGTATCTCTTGATCGTGGTAGAACTTGGGAGTTAGGAAGACAGACCTAGAACAGTGTAGGGTTATCCCAGAATATGAATCCAAGGTGAATGGTATCCTCCCCACTAGTTACATATAAATATATCTACTATATTCTCACTTCCAGTTCAAGTCTTGAACACATGAGCCCTCAACTACCGACTTGACCTCCCTTCATGCAGTGCACCAGCCTTGACTTGCACGGATCACACAACCAGCCTAAACCAACAAGTGCCAAATGCAGCTGTGATTGAATAAGGCTGAACTTGGCGTATGCCAATCAACAGACACACGGGCCATGTGGGAGGCCTTAGTGGGGTTGAAGCCAAAAATACGAGGGTCTAATCAGCCTGATTTACCCATCCACATCAGATCCATGTAAGTGTTATGTCCGAAAACGTCCAGCATATATGTAGGCGTTTCCCAGCGTGTGCCGTTGACTACGTCGTTGTCCTACCCAATTCCCCTTTTCCTATAGACGTCCTTCTCCTCTGTCTGTTCAATATTTTCAACCAAGCGAAGGTATTGGTTTTCAGTAAATTGTAGCATTATTTATTCACTGGGCTGTCCCACGGGTTATATCCAAATTACTCCCCAGTTCTTCTATAAGAACTCCATATAATATCACAATAAACCAAATCCTCCAGAAGAAAAGAAACCAAACCACCACCATGACCCTCGACCCCCTCTACCACACCCTCTACAACCTCCCCTCCCCCTCGCAAAAACGCACCCAACCAATGCAAGTCCTGGCCGTAGGAATCTCCCGCTCAGGAACCGAATCCCTCCGCGAAGCCCTCCACACGCTAGGCATAAACCACACCCACCACGGCTTCGACACCATCCTGCCGCCGTCCTCCCTGCAAGCCACCTACCGCCTTCTCCAGAAGAAATACACCGGGCCCCCGACGACCCTCACAGCCACCGACTTCGACACCGTGCTCGGCAGCTGCGTCGGTGTGACAGACCTCATCGCTGCGGAATTCGCCCTGGAACTTATCGCCGCATACCCCGACGCCAAAGTCATCCTCAATGTCCGGCGCGACCTCGACGGCTGGTACAAAAGTATGCAGCTGACCATGGGGTACTTTGACCGCAATCCCGTAGATTGGGATTGGTGCAAAAGTTGGTTCTGTGCGGAATTGTTCTGGATCCGGCAGTGTATGTGTCGGACTATGATGCCGAGGTTCTTTCGGGGGAGCTTCGAGTCGAATGGGAGGTGGGTTTATGAGAGTCATGTGGCGGCAATTAGGGGCTTGGGGTTGGGTGAGAGGTTGTTGGAGTGGAGTGTTGAGGATGGCTGGGAGCCGCTTTGTAGCTTTCTGGGGAAGGAGGTGCCTGGTTGTGAGTTTCCCAGTGGGAACCCGCCGAAGGCCTGGGCGGAGAGGATTGCCAGGACTATGGAGGTGCATCATCGACGGGCGCTCCGGAATATGGTGGTGTTTTTTGCGGGGTTGGGGGTTGCTTTGGGTGTTTTGGGAGCTTGGTTGGTTTATTAGGGGGCTTGAGGGTGAGGCTTTTGTGACATATATCCTGATTTGGAGGATTGGTGTCGAGAATTTGGCAGGTTCTTGGAAGGCTTCGTTGATTAAAATCACGGAAGGGGTAGTTGATGGTCTGCATTCTTGGAAATTGCACAGGTTCATTATTGCTCTTCGTAAATGACTAAATATAAGTCAGGAATCTAGGCCTCCTTATCATTCTCCCCAGTCGTATACTGAAAATAGGTCCGCTAGAAATCAGCTACTAAATCGAAAGACCACCCACATAAGTACAACGTCTAAATAACGCAATCATCGCCACGCTAGGTCAGGCTCTATCGCCTACCTCATTATCCTGCGTATTGGCACTCCTCGTGAAGATCGTATTTGGCGACATCAAGGTACACGTCCTTTGAGCGGCTTCTGACCGTGGACGCTCACGCTATTTACAATTTAAAGAAAACAGTCAGTTGCTGATCCCACCATCCAGCTTTCCCTATCAGAATAGGGCGTGGACTTACACGTGAAAATAGGCATGGATCTTTGAATAGTCGCGCAAGCCTTTCCTCATCTTGGCCAAGAATACTTGTACTTCCTCATAGCTCCACTGTTTATGGCGTCAGTATCGTGCGAATAGATTCAGCTGTCCCGGAAGCCGAGAAGAGCTCAGACAGAGGGCCTTACCCCCATCACACGGGTGAGCAGTGCCATGGACCATCCTTCTATACCCTGCTCGCAATGCAGCAGATTCCACCGTCCCAGCTGTCGGTGGTGCTCGTCCCTGCTCCAAGGACCAACAGGAAGCTTGAATCGCCGCTCGGTTACATTCTCAAAACCGGCGTCAATCATGTACTGGCGGGCTAAGTCGGCGATGCGAAACGTTTTGCCGAATCTCTCTCCTGCCTCGATAAATATACGTGACCACTCTGCCAGAATGTGGTCCGAGGTCACAGTGCCGTCATCCGATCTGAACTGGATTGACATCTCGAGTTGGTCAAACCATGCGCCGGGCCGAAGACCGCTGTAGCAATTAGAAATTGCCTATCTACCATAGATCTAACGAGCGTGATGTTCAACAGGGAGCTCTAGTGCAACCTACATCAACATGTTGCGATAGAACGCTGGCCAGTCAGAAATCGCCCCGTAGAGTGCACGCACGTGGATAAGATCGAAATGGTTCTCTGGATATGCCCATGAATCTTCTGCGTCGTCGATCTCAAACCGAAGGTTTGGTGGTACAAAGCTGGGTTGCGTCGGCGATAGGTCGGTTCCAATGATCTCTGCGGATGGGTATTCGTCTGCGAAGTCACTAGGCACATGTAAGCAATCGTGGATGATCAATATATACTGTTTGACACCAACATAGCCCATATTCCGGTTCCAGTACCGATGTCGAGCACTCTCTGTTGTATTCCGTCAGCCACGCTTCCAGTCGATGCGATCGGACCTTACTTGGATATCATCAGAGATGGGGGCAAGACACAACTTGTTTCCGAGAAGCATTGTGAACATATGATGGCTACAGTCTAATGTTAGAGTGATGGAGCGGTTGTTGACCTCGCGTCCGGTACGTACGCTATGTCGAGTTGTTCATTCTGGGTCTCGTCGTTCGGGCCCCTGATCATCTTAGCCATCCGCATCCTCGGTAGAAAGTCACGCGATTATAGTACCAGTAAGCACCGTCCTTGTAAGCATGGTATCGTCTCCCGTTTTCATAGCGATAAGCGGTGATCATCGAATTGATCGAGGTGGTGTCGCTCGCGCTAGGAAGGTCAATATCAGGGCAGGCGACATCTATCATGGAGGTCGTATCTCACAACTCCTCAAAATAATCGGAATCTGTGCCATCATCCAGCTCTCCCTGCACTGGTCAGCCCCGCGATTTCCGATGAATGGAGGGCAATGACGAGAAGGGGAGACGGACCGCATCATCGTAATTGTCCTCCACGTCTTGCTCCCTCGGCGGGGATTCCGAGTCGGACCGTGGTGATTTCTGGCGTCTCGCAGCTCCCATGGTAAAATGGCTTGACAGTTACTCCACATCCCTCACGAGAACCGGGAATCTTGGTTGTTTTCAACTTCCAGCGTAAGCTCCACACCGAATGAGGATCCTCCCCACTTAAGGTTTAGTCCCAGGCACCGTGCGCCGCCATTGATCGAACCAATGATGCCTTAATACGAAGGCCACGGCTCCACTTCTCTACCACTATCCAGGTAAAGAGTGGAGCCTCAGGTGTGGAGTATTGGCTGTACTGCCATCCTTTGGAGGTGCCGCCGTGCCGGTGCACTTGGAGAGTTGCCCAAGGGAGCAAGGATGTCTTGCTGAAGAGTCAACGCTGTGGTCTGATACAGTTTTGAGTACCCACAGGCGTGCATGCGATCCAGCAATGAGATCGTCGCACCCAAGGTCAGGAGCACCTTGCAGCGCTAGTCCTTCTAACGGGGTGGTTGTGAGTAATGAATGCGACATTGTCAGTACCTAGTGTTTGCCAGTGAACGCATCCAAGGCGAAGGTAAACCTTATGCGGCCTATTGCTGGCCGTTGTCACCTCATTTTCTTTGTCAACGTTGCAGAAACCGTGCAAAGGCCTTATGAAATAGTACAAAGCAAGGGCAGAACAAACGAGATAGTCAATCCAGTGATGGTCTAACGGTCATACCCCACCCTCGGCAAATTTGACAACCCATTCGGCTAACTGGACTCGGATTATCAAGATTCAAGAGGAAGCGACTGCGGATTTCGGAGACGGTTTTCAGCTGTGGGGGACGCTAGCTTGGAGAGTTATCGAATCAGGTTGCGACGGGGACTGAGGGAATTACTACTGAATTACCGTAGCTCTCCCGGTGCGGACAGTATGGGGTAGGAAGGAGGATACTTAGGTAGTGAGAGTGAGTTGGTTTAGCTCGGTCACGTTGTCGCCATCCATCTTTTAGAGCTCACGTTACGACATGTATGAGATGAGTCAAGTTTAGATATATTTTATGTCTATCCTCTGAGAACCAACCGGAAAATCATCATATAAGTAATCATTTCATTAGCACTGGTATCCGACATCTATCCGAATAATCATCAATCATAGCACACCCCTGAGATCTATACAGGGATCGATCCATGCCCGAGGTTCGCAAGTTGCTCGAATCAATCACTCTCAGGGCACTTTAGTCTTCATGAGTGACGGCCATATCCAGCACTTCAACTCGCCCTCTGCCCCGGGTGTCGTTGCCCACAAATTCATTTAGTCCCTTGAACGCGCCTGGTTCAGCAAAACCAACAACCTCCCACTCGTCGCCTGCAATATCCTGCGACTCGACCGACTCGATGAAGCTCAAGATCTTATCCTTGACGTTAGTCGGTGCCTTTGGCTGCGGAGGTTCAGCATCAGATGCCCCCTCAGCATCGGAATCTTGTTGACGTGCGGACTTCTTCGATCCTTTGCCGCCTTTCTTGTTGGATTTGGAGTTGCCGCCCGACGAAACTTCCTTCTCTTTGTTCGGGCCCGCTGGTGCTGCGGACTTGACGCTTTGCTTCAAGAGCGGCACAGGACAGGTCACGCGAAGGCGCATCCGTGCTCGCATCACTGGAATGGGTTGCCATGCAATAAGTGCCTTCATAGCTTCGAGGGCTTGTATTTTCGCCGATTTGTTGGGCGTAACACCAGTCCAGAGTGGCTTCCGAGCTTGCGCCGGGCGTGACTCATCTCCCGCACCGCTTGCTTCCCCATTGTTGTTCTGACTCTGCACTTGTTGCATCTGTCCACTCGCTGAACTCAGTTGATCTAACGCCTTAGAGATCATTCCCGGTGTGTAGACTCGCTTGGTCGTCGGGTCAACAAGCCTGCCCGATACAATATCCAATACCTCCTTCTCTACCCGCTCGACGATCTCCTTTCGTTCGCGCTCGCCAACCTGCACCTCACCTTTCCGGAGGATCTCTTGTCGAATCTCGTCCGCAGGAGTATTGGCACCGAAGGCTTTGGCTATTTCTGCAGACGGGGCGGTCTGTGCTTTCGAAACGGAGAGGAAAATGGTAGGCACTTGTAGGACATTGTCGAGATCTTTCTCGGCACCGGATCGGTATTCTAGGAGTTTGTTCTTGTAGCAGGCGAGTTCGAATCGCTTTTTACCTGATGATGAAAAAATGTTAGCGGGGTTGCGGGGTTGATCTCGTAAGTTCTAGTTTCCTTCTTTTCCCCCTCTATTCCCTCTTTTCCCCTTTCCTTCAAGAATAGTCTTCGCAACCATGTATATCTATAGAACCAAGCGCCGAAACAGAAAGAATATTTGCGGACCTTTTTTCAACCTCACCACTGATACATTGGTGAATTTAATCTGATTACTGGGTTGCATAATCGGCATCTTGGCGGACGTGTCTTCTCAGAAGACGTAGAATGCAAACTGTGATAAAGAATGAATAAAACAAAAAAAGATTGGTTAACAAAGCGTACGGGGGTATCTTTCGAGCTTTTGATGCGTGAAGAAATTATGTCAACTTTTGAATCTTTTCCAATAGTCTCGTGATTGGCGGAGACGACGATGACGCGGGTCTCGTGATTGCATGAGTCAGCGACCTGTAGGTACGGCTGACTCAGCGCGTGACTTCTTGTTTCCCCGGAGGTCCTCTCTCACATGATTGGCTGCCCTGGGGACTGCTATCGGCGTCATCGGCGCCTCCCATCGTTCCCCCAACCAACCTAGGTTCACCTCCTCTTCCTCCCCATCCCCTTCTTCTCTGACCTTTTATCACCCGTAGCTGGTTCTTCATCAGCTACTGAACTTATTCTGTTAGATTCGTTGTTCCTGTATGTTGCAATCCCTACAATATCTCCTATCTACCCCCAACAACAGCGTGATACTGATAAGCTACTTGCCTAGACCGCAAGGTACCCTCTTATCGCCGTCTCGTACTTCCCATCATAAACACCCCCTTGTTACATCTTATTTGGTGTCTAAGTGATCCAAGATGAGAGTATTGCCGGCTACTTTGCTGGTGGGAGCTGCCTCCGCGGCCGTTCCGCCTCTCCAGCAGGTGCTTGGTCGGCCTGAGGAGGGCATGGGCTTCTCCAAGCCACTCCAGGCCTTCCAAGAGCAGCTGAAGACTCTTTCAGATGACGCTCGTAAGCTCTGGGATGAAGTTGCCAACTACTTCCCGGACAGCATGGACCACAACCCGGTCTTCTCTCTTCCCAAGAAGCACACCCGTCGTCCGGATTCTCACTGGGACCACATTGTCCGTGGTTCTGATGTCCAGAAGATCTGGGTGAACAATGCCAACGGAGAGAAGGAGAGAGAGATCGACGGAAAGCTTGAGGCTTACGATCTCAGGGTCAAGAAGGCTGATCCGAGCGCTCTCGGTATTGACCCGAATGTGAAGCAGTACACTGGTTATCTCGACGATAACGATAATGACAAGCATCTGTTCTACTGTGAGTTCCCTTGACCGCCATTTGGTTATTTGTTTGATACTAACTCGCCCAGGGTTCTTTGAATCTCGCAATGATCCTAAGAATGACCCCGTCGTGCTCTGGCTGAATGGCGGCCCCGGCTGCTCTTCCCTCACTGGCCTATTCATGGAGCTGGGACCTAGCAGCATCGGTGAAAATATTAAGCCTATTTACAATGACTTCTCGTGGAACTCTAACACCTCCGTCATTTTCCTTGATCAGCCCGTTAACGTCGGCTATTCCTACAGTGGCTCCGCTGTCAGCGACACTGTTGCTGCTGGCAAGGATGTCTACGCTCTGCTCTCTCTCTTCTTCAAACAGTTCCCCGAGTATGCGAAGCAGGACTTTCACATTGCCGGCGAGTCCTATGCCGGACATTACATTCCGGTCTTTGCATCCGAGATCTTGGCCCACAAAAATCGCAACATCAATCTCAAGTCCGTCCTCATTGGCAACGGTCTCACGGACGGCCTCACTCAGTACGAGTACTACCGCCCTATGGGATGTGGTGAGGGTGGCTACGATGCTGTCCTCGATAAGGCCACCTGCCAATCTATGGACAATGCCTTGCCCCGTTGCAAGTCGATGATCGAGTCTTGCTATAACTCTGAGAGTGCCTGGGTCTGTGTCCCTGCCTCGATTTACTGCAACAATGCTCTTATCGGACCTTACCAGCGCACTGGACAGAACGTCTACGACGTTCGCAGCAAGTGTGAGGATGAAAGTAACCTTTGCTACAAGGGCATGGGCTACGTGAGTAAATATCTTAACAAGGCTGAGGTTCGCAAGGCAGTCGGAGCCGAAGTCGATGGTTACGACTCGTGCAACTTCGACATTAACCGTAACTTCCTCTTCCACGGTGATTGGATGAAGCCCTACCACCGTCTCGTTCCCGGACTTCTCGAGCAGATTCCTGTGCTGATCTACGCCGGTGATGCCGACTACATCTGCAACTGGCTCGGCAACAAGGCCTGGACGGAGGCTCTTGAATGGCCTGGCCAGAAGGAGTACGCCTCGGCCGAGTTGGAGGATCTGAAGATCGAGCAGAATGAACATACCGGCAAGAAGATCGGTCAGGTTAAGTCTCATGGAAACTTTACCTTCATGCGTCTCTACGGTGGAGGTCACATGGTTCCCATGGACCAACCCGAGGCTAGTCTGGAATTCTTCAACCGCTGGTTGGGTGGTGAATGGTTCTAGACTGGCCAAATGAGCTTTAGGTAAGGCATGCCTGGATGTGTCTTGGTTATATGGTGCTGGCCCAGTGACTGGCATACTAAACCTGTTTGATGCGTAATGTGCTTCAATTGCCTGTGTACTGTGATGTTTGTACATCAACCTTCATGGTCGTATCGTGCTATGTGCATGAAATATATATAGGGTAACGATCCGACGACTAGAATACAGATCCTTTTCATAGAACACTCGCACGTCTGCTTCATTTCTTAGACCATAAAACAATCCGTAATTGACTACACATTTGATAAAGCGAAGCGGAAGTAACATTGTACGGGGGGTGTTCGTACATCCCCAAGGACAGTAGGAGGTGCATACAGAGTAGATAACAGCAACGATGTCCTTATCATGAGACCACTGATAAGTACTCTCTGCAGATTGTCCAATGTTACAAACTTATCTGAGAGCATTTGAGATCTAACGTTCGAGGTATACGGCAGGCCAACAAGAAGAACGTTGCAGCCATATGGAGGCAAGAGGGGGATGGTTCTACTAGTGGAAGCAAGTCCAATCCCAGTAGGTCCTTTTTTAGAACAAGAATGAAGATTTTATGTTTCATGTCATATTGGTATGATTGTTTCATTTTCGACCCGTGCCAATTTTTATATCTAACACCAGATCATGTGCAGGTCCCACGAGAATTCGTTAAAACACACCAACATACAAAAAGGAATTCCCCCATCCCCACCAGCAAGTACGAAGGAAAAAACACAGCTTTGTGACCCTCTCGTATGGCTTAGCCCTTCTTCTTGCTGACACCAACGGTGCGGCCACGGCGACCGGTGGTCTTGGTGTGCTGACCACGGACACGGAGACCCCAGTAGTGACGGAGACCGCGGTGGGAGCGGATCTTCTTCAGGCGCTCAAGGTCCTCACGCATCTTGCTGTCCAAGTTGTTGGAGACAACCTGGGAGTCCTTGCCATCGGTGATGTCGCGCTGTCTGTTCAGGAACCAGGTGGGGATCTTGTACTGAGTAGGGTTCTGGAGGATGGTGACGACACGCTCAAGCTCTTCGGTGGTAAGCTCACCGGCGCTGCGGAGAAAGAATCCTGTTAACTACATTGTCCTGCATCTTCGGTCTTCATCCACTCGATCCTGGTGGCCACCTCCTCTTTCCTCATGATGATGATTGCTCCCATTTGCAAGATATCTGATGGTGGAAAAACCGGAAAACATACCGCTTGTTGAGGTCAACATCAGCCTTCTTGCAGACCAAGTTGGAGTAACGGCGACCGACACCCTTGATCTGGGTCAAGGCGTACATGATCTTCTGCTTGCCGTCAACATTGGTGTTGAGCAGACGCAAGATGTACTGGAAGTTCGTCTTCTCGCCGGACACGAGCGCTGTAGGTCAGAAAATCAGTCAGCCTTTTCTTTCTGTATTCTCCATTGTATTTCCGACAACGCCGTGATTTCATCGTCATCCCCTTCCATCTCTTGTCGATAACTCCCACGCAAAGTTGCAACCCGTCTCTTTCATCGGGGAAAATGGCGGAACGACAAGACACCAGGGATTTTGCAAATCAAAAGCAGCTCGGGATCAGGAGTAGAACGTACACATGATGGGCGGTTGGCGCGACGGGATCGCGGTTGATTGTCGACAGCGAGAGGGGTGAGAAGGAGTTGAAATCGAGGGCCCGACTTTGCTTTGGACTTTGCTTCGGCTCCCGTTGTGGGATCGGGTAATCACGCTAGGCCTCTTTGGGCATTTGTGCGCTCGCTTACCCTGTGAGCGCTAGTCTTAGAACAGCTAGCCCCGTCTTTTGGGACATGGCTCATGTGACATTTGTGTAATATTACGGTTCTGAGTGTATGGTAATATTACGCTTATCGATTGCTTTTTCTTGCTCTCTCCATATCTCTGCTTATCAGTGTCGTCTCCGCAATGGGGACATCTTTGCAGTCTCATTTTAGGAATGATATTTATGAGCGTATGCCAATACTTTCTCCTACTCAGTCTTAATCTGTTTGATTAGACACTAACTCTAGTGAATGCTCTTATCCGTGTTGTCGTACTTTTCCTTGTCTTGCATCTCTATACGCTTGCTCTTCAGGAAAAAAGCATGTACCGCATGCTCTCCATTCACTCAGTCATCCCAGGAATATGCCACACGTATGTGGCGTTACTGCTTTTACTCATCCTTGGGTGATTTGACTAATCATCGAACAGCTCAAGATACCTATAAAACTCTATTATCCTAGCTCCGGAGCGAACAGCTTCCGGAGAGTACAGCTTCAACCCGTAGCAAATACCCTGATTTGAATATCACTGCTGTTGGGACAACCAAATTGCTATGCATAGCTACGTGGGTGGCTCCAATTGTTTAGAGATGTCTCTCAGCACTGTCTACCTCTATACATCCATCAAGCATTGGATGCCACTAAACAAAGATGGCACAATCTCTTTATGCCATTGTCATAGGCCGAATGCCCTTGTTTCGCTTTCAAATAATCTTAACCGACCTTATTTCCTCTTTGTTCTTACGTCTTATATATAGGATATGTTGAACAATCATGTATGGAACATGGTCGCTTTAAAAGATAACCCAGGGTATCGAGATCCCCCTGATGCAGAAGATGCTCCTTTTTGACACTCCTCGACTTGATCTATCGTTTTGTTCCATGGAATAGCTGTTGATACCATTAATGCCTGGAACAAAATCTGTAAGGCATACTACTTTCACCTTGATAGTCTTACACCTGTGCTGAGTTTCCCCGACTCATGAACTCAGTTATATCTTGTTCGAAGTTCAGCTAATCTCAATAATATACCATGTCCTCAGAAAACAGTAACGTCAGGCCAGCGAAGGAGGAGGATGATTTTAAATATAACCCTGAGCTCAACTACCCCATGGTCAAGCTGGCTGACCTACCCGAGCCCCCCAAGAATTGGCGAGTCTGTGGCCGAACAGCAGAAGAAGCTTCTAAAGCTCGAAAAGCAACCAGCGAGGAAGCTAAAAAGTGGGTTAGATACCACAGTTGGGGCATCGACATGGGCGTGAAGGGCGACTTGACCAATCTCAGATGTTTCAAAGTCCTGTGGAAGCTCTTCTACTACCAGCAGGACAAACATCGACCTCAAGATTTCGACCAGATAAAAGACTTTAAGACAAGAGATGCTGGTCCTCGGCTGTTGCAATGCTCGGTGGATGTCCCTGATCTCCTTCCCATAAGCAGGTATTACCCTCACCCACCCCCTGCCACCAGACTTCCGGCAGAAGGGTTCCACAGGCCTCTCGATGCTCTAGTGAGCAGGCCAGATAGTCACATAGAACAGATGCTGTATCCAGTATTTGGTGCCCCGAAGGAAATCGACAAATTTCCCGAAGAGATCGAGACACCTACCGCTCAGACCACGGGCAATAGCACGGGCAACAGAAACCAACACAAAATGCGTCTTCCCAAAGCTATGGCTCGAGCTGTGACGGAGGCCATTGAACGCACTGTAATGCAATTCGCCTATGACGAGCTCGCGCGAGATTGCAGCGCTGTTGCTCAGGATGGTCAGGTACACCTAACTGCGGTGGCGGAAGAAGATCTACGGCAAGCCAATATCGGGTCCTTTCCCGCTACATCCCATGTGAAACTCGCTGTGGATCTTGACAATAACGATAGACTAGTGTTCAGTGCGGACGGCGATAAATACCCTTACAGAGGCCGCGGACCCGTGTACCGCAACAATTCTTCTGCCATCGACAGTATCGTTGTCGTCGGTAAGTTGCTCGACGCCGGATCTACCGTACTGGACCGCAAAGATCCCGAATGGCGCAGGCGCTTCACCAATGTGGAAAAGGCTTTTATTGAAGCCACTGATGTCAATTGGGATCTCTGCTCAAGAGGTGATTCTCGAGATCGTTTCTGGGCAGTGATGGCAGCGGAGACCGAAAATGTCGGAGTGGGTATACAATCTCCTCTCCTTGACATGTGGAATGTGTCAACAGAACACTTCAATCAGTTCTTGTTCACATATGATGAGCAGACTATGTTCTGCTCCCCGTGCACGAACAGGACTACGAATGCTGCGTACCAGAGCGCGACTGTGGCGCCGCCTACATGCCCGGAAGACATGAAGGGAGTATCGATGCAACAATTGATATCCCGTTCATTTGCATCGGAATACATCAGCCGCTGCGGCAAATGCCAAGATAAAGCCGTGAAGTGTCGGAGAATACTGCATGGCCTACCGATGCGCCTGACTGTAACTCTTGATGGCAGTGTGCCCGTCAAGAAACACACCCGAGATATATCCTTCGACTATATCACGAACAATGGCCAACGAGGAACAGCAGCATACCGCTGGCTAGGCGGGATATACTGTAAGGACGACCATTACCGGGTCTACTGGAATGACACTAAGCGAGGCGAAGTCGATACAGGCCAAATCCAGATGTATGACAGTGCCATGCTTTCGGGCATCATTGTCGGAGGTATCTCCCAAACACACAGGGACGACAAAGTACCCGAGGCTTGGTGGAAGAACAAGCCTGTGCCGCTCCTTGTATATGAACGTATCATGAATCCAGATGACGAGGTCCTCAATGTGGCCTTGCACACGTTAGGTGACATGGTCAAAGTCAGAAACCAGCAGAAATTGCTCCTTCAGGGGCATATTTCCTGGACCCCCTCGGATCCCTCAAGAGCGCCGGCGGGTTTTCCGTGGAGGCGACTCATCGACCGAAAAGAAGATCGCTTTCATCTGGTCTCAGGTGCTTATGACCCAAAATGCCAAGACCAGATATCGACGGAGCCTTCAGGTATTGATCGCCATACCAACATTCCCGGCCCATCCTCAGCTGGCCCGTCGAGGATAGATGACGGGTACTTGACGTCTTCAGCACCCACACCCGCCCCCGCACCACAACCGCAGCCTGAGATAGGGAGAATATCGCCCTCGTTGTTTGATGCTCCGACTGCTTCTATGTTTGCCGAAATATCACCTCTCCTCGCACTTGCTAAGACCCCTTCATTGTCGGGTCTAGAGTCTATTATAGAGGACACCGCGCTGATCAATGAACAACTCAACGGACTGCATCAAGGACATTATAGCGCACAGAATAACGTACAAAACAATGCACAATCTGGTACACAGTCCAGCTCGCAGCTTCAGGCGCAGTATAACATACAGCAGACTCCGCAGTCGAGTGGACAGCAACATAGCCAGCTTCATGGGCAATACAACAACACACAGGCGAATACGCAGCACCAGAAACCGTATAACGCACCTCACGTTACACAGACTAATACGCGGCAACCAAACGGTTATAACGCACAGCATCCGACGCAGTACAATAGGCAATATAGTATACAGCCAAGTACACATCCTCACGAACCGCATAGCACACTAAGCGATACATCATTTGACCTACAGGACATGATACATGACAGACTTCTGCAAGATTGGACTACTGGAGGCATCGACAACCTCGGTAATACAGCGTTCGGTTTTCCAGAGCTCAACAGCGGTGTATTTGTCCCACCAAAGCCGAATCACGCTAACAGTACGAACAGCGCTCAAGCTCCCGTCGAGAATAACTTCAACTATTCTCATCAGAACAGCAACCATGGACCCTCAATGCCACAGTATATTGATCCTAGCGTCTTGACTGCAGCTCCGCAGAATTCATCATCGCTACCACAGCAGGTTCAGCCGAGGCCTATGGACGGTCGAAGGCCTCCGTCGCAAGTTGCACCTGCAGCGGGTGCTCGATGGCACAGCCACAGGAATGTAGTAGCTAGCCCCTACATGTCAGCGAACCAGATACCGCGAGGGCTAAAAAGAAAAAGGGCCAACGAGGCAGAAGCACGGCGGTATCCGCCGAATCTGCGTTGACATCGCCCTTAGCATATTTTTCCTCCTACAACATTATGTATTATCCATAGCATTTGAGCGTGCTCTATACCTTCTCCCATTATTTCTGTTGAACCATATTATAACATGGTAAATTATTTGTGAAGCGTACAAGTGGATCATGGAGAAATATTTCTTGGAACCAAGTGTGAGCCAGCAACATATCCGTGCGGACAACAAATGAATCCAGTCACCAACCACATCACCCAACCTGTCCACAGCATTAATTGAGGGAGAAAGGGGTCAGTGAGCGGCATTTGCTTCCGGGGAATTCTTTACCTGTTTAAGCGATATGAAGTAACCGTTTCATTTCCTTCTGCATTAAATTATGTGTTGTCGGGAAGGTCGACCAATGACGGGGCGGTTATAAGTCAGTCTGTGCGATCAGCTTCCCCGCATTTTTCTACTCCAGATTCTTTTCCTATTATCATCTCCATCCCTTCTCGCGTCTCTCTCTCCTCTCCTTCGCAGTCTCCTCCTCCTCGTACTATTCTCCTTGGTTTATTATTCTGTTTCCTTTTAATCATAACCTGTGTGATCTCAATGGAAATACTGTTCGCAAACTTCTAAATCTATTAAACGACCCGTTCTCTATGTCCAATCTTCTATCTATATACAATGAAATAACAGGCAAACACGAAACAGAAATCTACAGCCTGGCCATGGGGCAACCACCACCGCGTTGTGACAGTCCAGTGGGGGTATTGCTCTTCTTTGGCGCGGAGACGTATCCGCCCTTGACATTGTCCGAGTTGATGATGACCCCCGTGGCGTCGCGCTGGATGCCCAGCTCAATGAGCTTAGCAAACACCTTGGCGAAGTGATCAAAGAAAAGTTCCTTATCCTGGGCATATCTCTCCACCCAGACGCGGAATTTCGGATCGGTGATCAACGCAACGTCGGTCGGCAGCATCATCAGCTGCTCATCGCCTTCCTCCGCATCGGGATCCACATACACAAACTGCTGGATACCGTTCTCCAGCGTCTTAGGCGTCCACTCGAGCTTAAGGAGCAGGTTGTAGAACTGGTTTGAGAAACGGGTCGGGTTGTTCACCCAGGGGCCGTGGAATCCACTACGGTCCATGTGGCAGCGGCCCATGTTGTGTCCGCCCGCCAATGCGACAATTTCTTGGTCATTGAAACCCATTCGGTTGAAGATGAATCGCAGGTGCTCGGCACCCTGGGCAGCATCGGGCAAACGACCACGTGGTGGCACCTTCGAGTCGTCGACCAAATCCGTACGGCCGGGCTTCCACGCCACTTCGGGTCCGCCTAGCTCTTTGATCGCTACTACGCCTGCTAATGTCCACAGATCCGCGTATGTGATCCAAGGGTGCTTCTCCTTTACTGGTTCGAGGAAGGCCCGTCCGTGCTGAAGACCGGCGTTGGCTGGGTCACCACCCTCTGCTTCGTACCGCATGCCGGCACCATTGGAGCCGCCTGTATCCGATTCTGCGTCGTATGTGCCTGCGGAGTGCCTAGCGATGATGTGTCAGGTAAGTCGTCCTTTGAAGGGAAGCAGGACGTGAAAGAGAAAGGAGAAAAGAAAAAACTAACCATGCCAGTCGAACAAATACAGGTCCTGCGCTACCATCGTCGTAGTCCGGCTTCTTCAGTTGGGCGACAATGTCCCTCCGTACGGCGTCATAATCCCCTGGTGTGCTCATCTCGGCCGATAATTTGTCTGGGGTAAAAGTCGGGTATAAATGTGGGTCAGGAAAAGCCTCAGGTGAATTTTACTTTATTTCTGAACGCGCTCTGGCGTGGGTGAGAGGTTCGAGAGACAGCGACAAATTTTGATGACAGAAACAGGAGGAGATTGAAGACGTTGTTAAGGAAGAAATATGAGAGAAGTCTTTCGGTCCAGGAGGCGATGTCTTGCTGGTCGCACATGAAGAGAGGCAATGGGTGGGCCCGCGGCACGAATCAATAATTTGGCCGACAGTATCAAATGCCGAGGTTCATTCGCTCGTCCCTTCAGCGTCCTCTACTCCGTACAACGGGGCCCTCCCCACGGAGAACCGGAGTATACTAAAACTATGACGACCGTGGATTTTCGATCGAAACAATTAATCGCTGCTACTTCTGCTTCACCCCTCCGGGCCTACCCCAGGGTATGGGTTGAGGCGAAGAGGATTTCTTGCCAACTGGGCCCTTGCGATAACAGAGCAAAATCTTAAAAAACGATAGATCATCTACGGCGTTTTTCCCTGGCCGGTTTTCGTGATCAAGTCCTGCCAGCATCCCCGATCAAAAGCCGCCGATACGAAGAACCTCGGAACTTGATTTCCCGACCAGCGAGAACTGGTCCCTGTCTGCCTATCAACTGCTCCATTTCTTCCGTCGCCATAATTTCGCGCGCGATTTGCGTCAGATAAGCCTGTGATCGCTGTCAGCATTCTGCATGCTTCGTTCCTATTATTAAAGCTGGTTCTGGAACGTTGGAAAACATCACAAGATGGATCCCGATGCCCAGTTAAGGTTGTCGCTACTCGTCCCGCTGCTGATAATAACGAATTCTTGACTGGCTATCGCCCGAGATCCACACATGTGAATGGTTTCGCCTTCTATATTGAGGTGTCATCATCCACTTCTTGTCCACTTTTCCAGTCCGAAGACTAGACTCTGTCGCACAACCAGTCATGATCTACAACTACCTATTCAGCATGGATGTGGACAAGGATCTCGTGAATTCAACTCTCTTAATTGCGTACAACATAGGTACAGAGGAAAGCACCTTTACAGATTAGTTTCCGCCAGAGTCGCATCTGTCCCTCGGCCCAACAGCTTTTCTCTTTCCGCCTGCGACCTGGACAACTCATATTTCCACCTCTGTGCTGCCAACCTCCTTTTCGCGCCATCGAAATTGCCTTTCACCCTCGCCAACCGCACCTGCCATTGTTTGTGGATTTCTTCGGAGTGTTTTACCAGGCCCTCAACTTTGCGGTGCATCCACTTCCTCTCCGCCCTCCACCGTCGTTCGCGTTGACGGTAGCGCTCCAAGTCTCGCTGCAGCCTTTGTTGTTCCAATCGCTCAGTGTTCTTGACGCTGGTGACGAAATCATGAATGGGCTTTGTATGTCTGGCACTCAGTCTGCCGCAAGAAAGTTGTTTGGAGATGCAGATAAAAGCGGCCGAAATATCGTCTGCGATTGATCGTAGGAGGGCGGATTTTGACACTGATGAGAGACTATCTAGGTTCTGGAGGCGCATTGCGCAAGAGCCTGGACTGAAGCAGGGACCCGTGGCCGACATTGTAATGGCTTTTCCGTCGAAGGTGAGACTATTGTCAATACTCCAGCTGGAAGATTGATCAACGAAATCTCGTAGAATGCAAGGTAATATGCACGTAGGTTTTATAAGTTGTACCTGTAGAAACCAACCGCACCTTTAGTATATCCAGAATAAAGGGAATAAATGATGTCGATAAGATTCACTCTACACTCATCAAAGCTATGTCTTTCACTGAACCTTTGTTTGACCATCTAGGAGCTGCATGGACAAGCTCAAAGAGCTCGGCACGTAGCGATCAATCAACAGATCTTTTTACTATTCATAGCGATAAACAGAGAGAACAATCTCATCCGAAGCAAACATGAGATGACCAACAAAGCCCTAATTGTAGCATCAAACATACCATACCGCTCTACAATTTCTCCCCGCGCAGCACAGCTACAATCGCATCACCGACTTCCGTCGTCCCAGCTTTTCCACCCAAATCTGGCGTGCGGATGCCGGAGTCTAGAACAGTTCGCACAGCCTCTTCGATTTGCTGTGCTTCACGTTCCATATCCAGAGAGTACCGGAACATCAGCGCCACACAGAGAATCATAGCAACGGGGTTGGCGATGTTCTTGCCGGCGATACTATCTACCTTTAGCTTGAACTCCAAGCAATACCAGTGTTGAGAGTTTAAGAAAGTATGAGAAAACTTACGTCGCGCCGACCCATGTGTAGGTTCATACAGCCCATTAGTCCTCCTCCGGGTCTCAGAGGGTAGCCCATCCAAGCTTGCACTCGGCAACACGCCCAACGTTCCAACTATCGAACCCGCCTGGTCAGAAATCATATCACCAAAGGTATTATCGGCCAGAATCACGCCGTTCAGCACGCGCGGGTTCGTCGCCAGAATTAACGACGCGGAGTCCGCCAGCTGATGCACCAGTTTCACCTGCGGGTACTCCTCTGCCATGGTCTTTTCGACGACGCGGCGCCAGAGCCGTGAGGACGCGAGCACGTTGGCCTTATCCAGCGAGATGACGGGCCATGGGGGATCGTGGCGCAGAGCCAGCTCAGCAGAGAGACGAGTGATGCGTTGGATCTCGGAGGTGGAGTAGGCCCATTCGTCCATTGCTTTTCCCCGTTAGCACAGAACCGCGATAGACACGTAGTAAAGGGCAGGTAAAATAGAAAAGTAGAGATACCGTACCATATTCATCGTCTTCCACCTTCCTACCGAAATACGCCCCGCCACAGTTCTCCCTCACTACTACGAAGTCCACCCCTTCAATGATCTCCTGTCGAAACGGACTAAACTCCCTCGCAACACTCCTACTCGGCGAATCCGCCGAGCAGGGTCTCAAATTCGCGTAGATATCCATCGCCTTCCGTAGCTGTAGCAACCCGCCCTCCGGCCCATCCAGCCCCTTCCGCATATTATCCCATTTCGGACCGCCCACGGCAGCGAACAGCACCGCGTCCGAAGCGAGAGCTGCTTCCTTGACCTCATCCGTGATCGACTTGCCGTGGCGATCGATGCTACACCCGCCGATGAGCTCTGAGCGGGTGTTGAACTGTACAGTGGATGTATTGAAGGCGGAGAGCACCTTGGTGGCCTCGGCCATGATTTCAGGGCCGATGCCGTCCCCGGGGAGGATGAGGATGTTGTAAGTTCTTGCTTTGGTCATTTTTGCAGTCGGTTTTGGTTCGATTATACTAGATGGGTTGGAAGGTATTGATTCAACAAGTTGATTACGACAACATATATAATTCAGTGGCTCTTTTTATCCACTCCATGTTGCCCTTTATATAGATCTGTATCGGCCAAGAGACCGATTTGCGGGGAAGAAGACGTCTCCTCACGGCGTTGCCCCGATGGACGGAGCAGACGGCCTCGTCTTAAGAGTTGGATAGCATTCGATCTAACATGTCGTTCCGCCCGAGGTAATGGACTGCATATAGACCATGACCATTATACTGCCCCTACCGATATCGCACGGTAATAGCCATAGATCTCCACCAGTTGATCGTGACCATGAGATACTAATCTATGGATAGTATCCGGAAAAGGAAATACGTAGGGTAAACCCTCCCCCCTCATGTTTGCACCGTTTGTCTTTCAATTTATCAGATGAAAGATACAGATTTCCAGAACCGACTTCACTGGAACTTCCACCCCGCTATTTTCCGCAACCGTGAGATAATATCCGTCACCATGGGCCAGATCGAAGAACTCCCCGACGACTTCGACGAGTCGCTCAACCTGAACAAGCAGACTCCCGAGACGCAAGATGCCCCGCCGGCGAAAGAGGTCGAGACCTCATTCCCGGTGAATAAAGAGCGAGCGGAGAAATTCGAGAAGGAGAATCCGGACGTGCCGAAGTTGCCGCCTGCGATGGAGGCGGTGCGGTCGCATACGACAGACGAGCTTTTGGACATGATGAACAAGACGCCGTTGTTTATGACGGATATTGACAAGGCGGGGGATGAGAGTATGTCCTATTTTCATTCTTCATTATCCGTTATATGCTTAATGGCGTTCGGGGGAGTAAATTGCGACTGAGATGACCTGGGCTTACGCTTTTACTACGTATAGATGGCGAGAATGTCTTTTTAGATGCCCTCCACGCCTTACAGAATGAGGGTACGCGCGGAGAAGTCGCCCAGAACTTCCGCGAACAGGGTAACGAGGCTGCGAAGGAGTTGCGATGGATCGATGCCAAGGAGTTCTATACTAAGGCTATTACCGTTATCTTCGCGAAGGAGGATAAGTGGGAGAAGCCGGAGGATTTGGCCGCGGAGCAGAAGTTGCTGCGACAGGCTGAGGAGGCGTCTCATATCAATCGCGCGTTGTGTAATCTGGAGCTGGGTAGGTTTTCTTCTCTCTTTTCCTTCTTTACGGTTGTTACGGGTCGTATGGGGGTGCTGATTTGTTAGGCAATTATCGGCAATGTACGCTTGACTGTGCCTCGACTCTCAAGCTGAACCCGACGAATATCAAGGCGTTTTATCGTTCCGGTATGGCTTGTCTGAAGCTCGATAAGATTGCCGAGGCTGAGGATGCGGTGAAGCGAGGCTTGGCTATCGATCCGAACAATAAGTCTCTTCAGATGGCGGCAGAGAAGATCGCTGAGCGCAAGGCTGTCGTCGAGCGCCTCGCTGCTAAGCGCAAGGCGGAGGAAGAGAGAAAGAGCAAGGAGAAGAAGTTGCTTGATGTTGCACTGAAGGCTAGAGAGATCAGGACCCGCAAAACGGACAAACCGGCCGACTTGGACGATGCGGTGATTCGTCTTGTTCCCGATCCTCTCTCTCCCGAGAGCACGTTGGAGTTCCCTGCGGTGTTCCTCTATCCCATGGATGCCCAGTCAGACTTCGTCAAGGCGTTTTCTGAAATGCACAGCATTGAGGACCATCTCGAATACATCTTCCCCTTGCCGTGGGATACCAAGAACGAATATACCATTAACAGCGTGGACTGTTTCATGGAGACTGCGACTGGCGGATTGATCAAAGCCGGGAAGAAACTGCCACTTCTGCAGATTCTTAGCGGCAGCAAGGTTGAAGTTGTGGATCAATTGGTGAAGTTTTTCATTGTGCCGACCGCGAAGAGTGGCCAATTCATTGCGGAAATAAAGAAGAGGAAGCAGGGTTGAGAATGCTTCTTTGTTTGTTTCCAAGAAGCCAAAGGGCTACTCCTCCCCGAGACTTGAGGTATCAGCGAGAAGGCCCTTAGGCGATGAGTGCGGATGGCAGACCTGACTGTGGAGTTCTTCCGCCAACGACCGTCAGCGGTTCACCACATGGACACAGGCGTATGTGCCCATACAGCTTTCAGACATGAATATGGACCTCCGCTATTCCAGCTCGGGCCCACCTGTTCATAGGAGCCATGCAGTTCGTCTGACCTTGCTCCAAACCTGCGTCCGGAACATAGACCGAATGCCGTTATGATGATGACAATATATTAGTTCGCACATTATTAGAATAGAACGAATGCCATAATTAGAACCTCGGCTGACAGCAGTGCCGCTGACATCGGACGTCCATCCATAATAGTCGAGAGGACCCCATCCCCTTAATTTACTTCTTGAAACCGATATTTATCCGTGACTCTGGATAGTGGAGCCATCCCGAGCCATCGACCTATATCCACTATTGAAATCCAGAACGACGCCATTGAGGAATAACCGCCGGTCCATGCAGAGTCCCCACTCGATTTAGGCTATAAGAACTGAAATGCCCGAGACATTCTGACGTCCGAGTCAGTAACGGCGTGGAACCGTTTCAGGTTGATTAACGGCGACACTGGATCCTAAATCGCACACGGACCAACAGCCAAGTCCATGAATGAAATCGAACCGCTGAAGCAGTCCGGCATTGATTCTCCGCGATGGAGCCATGCGATGGGCAGTAAATGAAACTGAGTCTAGGGCAGAGGCCATCCATGGTTTAATTTAGCTTGCTTCAGCTTTGCTACGAAGGTCGACTTAGTCTCAATGGGAATTCGTATAAGTTGTTTTGAGTCGGCCTCGACATAAGCATTTCTTCTCTTAACTCTCTTCGCTCCTTTAACTGTGATCCTGGTGATCCGATTGTCCAACTCTTACCTTCTTTTTATTCTTTTCGTCGAGTAAATAGTGCAATGCGTTTCCAGCCCTTGACCACGGCTCTGGCTGTGGGTGTCTCTGCCCATCTGTTCGTTCCTTGCCCTGCTATTTCTACCGTAATATCCAAGCTCGAGCCGAGTGCAGGTGCTAACGAAGAATTCAAGTGCTCAAGCAGCTGGTCTGCATGATGCCGCCGTTGCAAAGGGTCTTCTCTACTTTGGTACCGCAACCGATAACCCCGAGCTCACCGACACCTCCTATGTCACCCAGCTGAACAACACGGGTGACTTTGGTCAGATCACTCCTGGGAACTCGCAGAAGGTGAGACCTAGTGTCTTCTTGAAGAATCCACGGACTATGAGTGACTGATGCAATGGAATGAAACAAATAGTGGGACACAACCGAGCCGTCTCAGAATCAATTCTCCTTCACCAAGGGCGACGTCGTTGCCGATCTGGCCGATGCCAATGATCAGAAGCTGAGATGCCATAACTTGGTTTGGCACCAGCAGCTGCCTAACTGGGGTATGTTTTCTTTTCGGCCATGGTAGATATCGGATGCTGATGAAGACAGTCTCGGGCGGGTCTTGGACCAACGAAACCCTAACTGCCGTTCTGCAGAACCACATCACAAACGTTGTGAAGCATTACAAGGGACGATGCTATGCATGGGATGTAGTGAACGAGGGTACTTTTGTCATCTTCCTAGTACCTCTACAGAAGCATAGATACTGACTCGAAACAGCCCTGGCCGACGACGGCTCCTACCGCGACTCCATCTGGTACAAGACCATCGGCGAGGCCTACATCCCTATCGCATTCGCAGCTGCCGCTGCCGCCGACCCAGACGTGAAGCTCTATTACAACGACTACAGCATCGAGTGGGGCGGCTCCAAGTCCACCGCTGCCCAGAACATCGTCAAGCTAATCCAGTCCTACGGTGGTAAGATCGACGGTGTCGGTCTGCAGGCCCACTTCACCGTCGGCCAAACCCCACCCCGCAAGGACCTCGCCAGCAACCTGAAGGCCTTCACCGATCTCGGCGTCGAGGTCGCCTACACCGAGGTTGACGTACGTATGGAGACCCCAGCGACGGAGGCCAACCTGCAGCAGCAGAGCACCGAGTTCGCCAACATCGTCGGTGCTTGTCTCGACACTGAGGGCTGTATCGGCGTTACCATCTGGGACTGGACCGACAAGTACTCCTGGGTGCCCAGCACGTTCCCGGGCTACGGTGCTGCCTGCCCCTGGGACGAGAACTTTGAGAAGAAGCCCGCGTACCAGGGCATTTTGGAGGTTTTGGGAGGTGAGGCTTCTGCTTCTACTTCTACTTCTGTGTCTGCTTCTGCTTCTGCACCTGAGACCACTTCCGCCGCCCTCTCTACCAGTGCTGCCGCTGTCACTTCTACTTCTTCTTCCAGCACCAGCACCAGCATCAGCATCAGCACTCCTCCCGCTGTCATCTCCTGCACTGCTGCCGCCTCTGCTACTTCTTCCAGCTCTCCCAGCACTACTTTGGCCACATCTTCCAGCACTACATCGGCCATCTCTTCCAGCACCTCTTCCGCCATTCCTTCCTCTTCTTCTTCTTCTTCTTCAGCTACGCCAACTGACTTCATCCCTCAGCCTAGTTCAACCGCCGCCGGCCGCGTCAAGGTCTACTACCAGTGCGGCGGCATCAACTACCAGGGTAGCACCAAGTGCGAGGAAGGTCTGACCTGCACGAAGTGGAACCCTTACTATTCGCAATGCCTTCAGGCCTAGGTGTATCCATGCCTCCGGAATTGGTCTGCTGAACCAGTTATCTTTACCGTAATACTTCTTACACTCTGTTGATGTACATACACGACTACTATAGTCTCATAAGTACTTATATTTTCGATATACATATTTGAAATAAATCTTTTTTTCCCATTGATAAATAGAAGTCAGGCATCTGCTGACGGTAGCTCTACTAAGAAAGAAATCCAAAACAACATGATCCCACCCACCACAAAACAGCGATTCAATAGAAACCAACCTCCCAATAAAACCCCAAACCCTATGTGACCTGGTAAACCACATACCCCTAAATGCTAACCAGCCAACCACCCCGATAAAACAACAGGGATCTCCAACCCTGGCACTTAAAAAATTAAGTTTAAAACCAAACCCTGCCAAAGCCCCCTATACCAGACGTAACTAACCTATTAATTAAATCGGAACCAGGGAACCGGTCCACCCCATCTGGCCGCTGATCCCATCTTAGCCAAGAGTACTATACATAGAGTTAGATTCAATCAACCCCCCCCCCAAGCACCGAATGCAGATCAAGCTCGGTTCTATCTGCACGCGGCCCGGGGGGCAGGGGGGGGAGGGGGAGGCGGCCAGCTGGCAAGGTGATATAGATAGTTAGTAGTTCACATATAGCAAGCATACTGGGTGGCGGCCACAAATGACTGCATATACTTTATACCGTTTAGGTAGGATGGATGGAGTGGGCGTCGTGCTCGGACCTCCCCTGTTTCCTGGCACGGACGGGGTAGCTGGAGATCTGTGCACTCAACTCTCTCTCTCTTGCAGCAGTTCATCTATGAGACTTTAATCTGGCGTTGCATGGTATATTATAACCTAGGCTGGGTTAGTTTGGGTAGTAGCCTAGGAACCGTGGTCGCGGCACACAATATCCCCCCACCTCCTCTTTCTCTCTCTTTTCTTTATTTTCTCTACGAATATGTATGCGCTATGTGGGCTATATGCCAGGAGAACAAGATAGGAATCCCAACGCTTCCCCAACAGCGCATATGCAGCTTGAGGAGTGAGATTTGGGCTAGTGCAGGGATTGAGTGAGATCTTGTCGGTCTGGCCGTTGCACGTACCCCTTGCTTTATTTTTGGGTTATGCATGGTTTTTATCTTGCGTGTTTGTGTTTGTTTGGGAGGGCTATAAAGAGGACTCTGGGGGAAGTGGTCAGTCTTGTTTTCTTTTCTTTTTTTCAGAATTTATTTATTTCTATTTGGCATCGTGTCTTGATTTCCCAGTACATTATATTTGTTATATTGCCCGTGTCTGTTCCCGTTCCCGTGGATCTTTTTTTTTTGTTCCTGTTTTCTGGTTCTTTTTTTTTTCAGGTTCGGGTTTGGCTTGATGTTCGTGACTATGTACACCTGGTTCTCTTCCCCCTTCTTCTATTAGTGATTTGGGTCCTGTCCGAAAATCTATTATTATGCTTTATGAGTTCTCCTGATGATGTTGTGAATGAATGCAATGCCCCTGACGCCGGTTCGCTGGAAACAGATACAAAGGAAATGGGTGGTAAAGGAGTGTGGTGGTGAGAAGATTGAAGGTTGAGGATATGCGAGACGTTGAAAGTGAGTAGGTGTGAGTATGAGTCAAGGAGAATGAGAAAGGAGGGTCGAGTCGAGTCGAGTCGAGGCGGATACGTCGGTGAGCGAGTGAGTGAACGTGTGTGAGAAATGAGAGGAAAGAGAAAAGGACTCATTAATAACTGGTGAAATAGTACGGGTTCGCACACCCCATATCCGCTGTCCCTGTCATCCCCATCACAGGGAGAGGTTGCGAGTGCGGGTGATGGCCCAGGTGGGGCTCACTGTAGTACTTCAACGGATAGTGCGAGTCGATGGAGACTGTGGTTGGGGGTTCGTGTTGGAACAGGTTCGTGTTGAACTCCAGCGGGTATGAGCTCTCGCCTGGCCGGGTGCGCTTCAACGTGCTTAAGGAGGGCAGGGACGGCGGGAGACAGGGGTCCCAGGTTGTGCTCACGCTGCTGGCGGACTTGGTGCTCGCAAGGCTGTGCTTGGTTGTGTCGCTTGTCGGGAGCTCCCCGTGGATGGGAAGACGGAGGTGTGAGATTCCATGTCCGGGACCTCTTTGCGATAGACTGGGTTAAGGTCGGTTTTCATGGTCGAGCCTGGTGAGCCCATTGCTTGGGCTTCGGATATGTCGGGGAGGTTTACCCGGGATACGCAGACTACGGCTTGTCCATCTGTTGGGTGTTAGTGGGTGGTTCTGCTGAGAGGGGTACGGGGTGGTACGTACCTGTCCTGCCGTCAAGGAAGGCTTCCTCTTCTTCACGGACGCTGTATATCTCCTCCAGGACTTGCAGCCGCTCACTAGGTAAGATCTGGCGGCGGATGGATTGGTCTGCTTCTCTCAGTTTCTCGACGCAGATGGCATGACTGCTGCGTAGTTCGCAAAGGATGTGCACCAGGAGTCGGATTCTCTCGGCCTTGAGCAGATGGTCAGGCTCCCGATGGGTGACGCCCGATGGCCACCAAGCAGGCTTGGTAAGCTCGGGGTCAAATTGCTGTGAGGAGCCCGAGATGATCTTGCGTCCGTTATACGGATAATTAACCTGCTTGCGGGGTTCGACAAGCTTGATATACGCCTTGGCGAGGATACGGCAGTTGATCTGCTGCAGGCTCTCGAATGCCTTCTCGTAGTATTTACGCAGGATATCATGGTTGCGGATAGGTAACATGGTTTTCTGGTGGCAGTTGATGCTCATCGGGACCACACACTCGTGAGATACCCGCTTTCTCTTGACCTGATGACCGTCGTGGTGTGTTTGGAACCTAATTCTGTTAGACGGCCACTGGTTTCTCAAGGAGAGTTCTGCCACATACATTGAGTTTTTGCGGCTCAAGCTACTTGTGCCGGGGGATTGCGGCGACATGGGACTTCTGCCCCCCATATGCTCTTGGTTTAATCTCGGAGAACCTGCATGCTCTGGTCAGCTCGGATTCCTTTGTAGAATGTACAAGAGGGCGTACCTATCACACCGGGATCACCCTTGTTCGACAACGCCACGGCTCTCAGAAACGAATCAGTTACATTCGGAGATAGAATCGATTGGCAGTTGCTGGCAATAGAAGGCGACGCTTCAAACCGAAGCTTGCCGTTCTCGTCGATGTATATGAGAGCAAAATGGACCGAGGACAGCGAGGAGAGACCGTCCAGTGGCGCATCCATAGATATCGGTGTCTGTGCCTTGGGTCAGTCAGTCAGTCAGGAACCTCTGGGGGGAACGCAAGGTCGGTGGTGACAATACCATGGTCTGTGGTTGCATTGGCCTCTGTTCAAAGAAAGTTGGGGACTGGGGGTCGCCTAAATGCTAAATTTTAATACACCCATTGCCAATCAGGTGCCGGGGAAGAGGGGAGTACATACGCGCAGAAGACATCTCTATTGCCTGGGCACCAAAACCAGCATTATCTTTTGAAAGGTGCAGGGGAGGCGATGTTGTTTGCGGGGATCCACCGACAATAAGCTTACAGGATCTGCCTGAGCTGTAACCACTCTCGCCTCTTCCTTTTGCGATGCTGCGATGCACTTTATATGCGTTGGACACGCTTCGTCGAGGGAGAGACGCCAACACCAATATTTGGAAAACAAAAGAAGGAAATAAATTAAAATCAAAAATCTGGTCCCCCCCCCCCCAAAAAAAACCTAAAAAGGAAAAAGCAACTGCGTTGGGAGGGGTGAGTGTATCTACACCGTAATGAAACCCGTAGAAAATAAATTAACTCAGCCCAAAGCTGTGTCAGGAATGTGCGTGGCCTTACTCCGTATGTGGCACAGCTTTCGATCCGCTCGGATGCATTGGGCTTTCGAACTAATGGCTCTTCTGCATTGTCCTGCTCCCCAATGATCGGCTGTCCAGACAGCGGAGAGTCTGGATCATGTCTGCAGAGCGTCATTCCATGCTAGGTTGTTCGCTTTAGATTTCAAGCCGGCTTTTTTTGTTTACTAGGATACTATTTTTGCTACACTTCCTCAAGCTTCCCCCCCCCCCCCCTTTCCCCCCCTTTTTTTTTTGTGTCTTGTTGTTTTCATCTTGGTCAACCCCGGATAGCATCATCCTCAAAGTCACGCGAGACAGAATCAAGAAAGATTTCTTCATGGTGCAGTCATGCAGTATGAGCCTTGTTTCAGCTCACCGAGCGTGGCAAAACAGTCGGCTGAGTTCGGCGTCTGGTTGAAAGCCACGAAAAGAATAGCTCATGGGCTAGAAAAATCACCGAGACGCCTTATAGTCAATAATCAAGGGAAGCATACGATTCCCACCTGCACGGTCCGTAGAGAGGCCCAGAGCCATGGTCCTTGGTCCTTGGAGATCTTTTCCGGCCGGGGGGGGTCCCAGCCGGAGGGATCATGGTGGCCACGATTCCCTCCCATGTTCGCCCATCTCTGTTGCTCTTGCTGTGATCTTCCTCGATAGAACCGAATAGCGTCACTTCGGCCGGCCCTCGAACCCCCCTTGCCTCGCACATCGGGTGTCAGGCATATGCACTTGCGCCACTAAGCGGTGGAGTTCCTGCTGACAAAATAGTATGGTAGAAAAGTCAAAATGATTCATATCAGTGTAAAAAAAGACTCCCTGGTGCCGATCTAGATACGGCAATTTCCGTCGCAGGGTCCTGACAGAGGTGAATCAATGCAGACAAGTCAATAAGCCCCATACGTGGTCCACCGAATATCCACAGGGATAAAGAGATGCAAGACGTATGCAAGACAGTACGGATGACGTTGTGGGACGGTTTTCTTTCCTTTTCTTTTCTTTTTTTTAGGCCCAACTGTAGACTACCCTGATGTGTATGCGTTAGTCCATCGAACGATGGTAGTCCGGATTGACCAGGAAGCCAAAGTGAGCTAATATCACTGGCGTTGGAAATCAGTTGCGGGGCCAGGGTTCTTGAAGCGGCTGCCAGCCCTCTGAATGGGTATTGTTCTTTTCTTTTCTTTTTTCTATTTCCCTTAGTAAAAAAAAAAAGGAGAAAATTAAAAATCCCTCGGGCTAGTTTTTGGACAACTCAAGAGTCAACGCTTGGGAAAGTTTGGTAGGACTCCACATGGCAGGATGTCAAATTGTCACTATGACTCGCTTCGATGGGCTGATAGATAGTGGGTTTGGCGCTAACGAGAGCTCCCTCTTCTCTGGGGCATGATTCTATCACGGGAGGGGAAGTGGTCCTGTCTTCTCCTCGGTTTTTGTTACTATTCTTGACCCTCCTGGTGGTCCAGGCTGTGGCAATAGTCCCGATTCACTCCCATGGGTCCAGTTCTGCCAGCTGAAGCGTTGGTGGAGGGACAATGGAATAAAAAAAATTAGAGAAGAATAAAAGAAAATGCGAGAAATGAAGAAGAGAAGGTATACGACGGAACCTCATTGGCCGTTGGTTCTCTGACTCTGGATGGCTGAATCCTGACGCTCAAACCCCACTCTCAGAATGATGAATCACCATCGGTAGTTGACACTCTGCTTCAACGTCTCCACGCTGAAAATTAGTGGGATGGGTTAATCTGCCCCTACTGCGTTATTGTTTAAGCTTCATAGTCGCATCCCCAGTTCTTCATTAGAAGCTTGGTGGAATCGGAGCTGGACTGATGGTTCATGGTTTCTGTGAAGCAAGTACGCAGGACTCAAAACAACCTACCAGGATTAGGGTGTGGTGACAGCCTGCCCTAACTGCAAACGTCCAAACTAGGCGTTCGGGACAGCCCGAGCAATGGGTTATCACGCGGCAACCATCGAAAATAAAAATAAATATCAAAAAATATCAAAATCAAAAGAAATGAAAAGAAAATATATTATTTTTCTTTCAGCGGCTGTGGCGTTCTCATCTGTCTGCCATTTCCAGGCGGCTCACCTGATGTATCAGCAACAAATGGTATAGATGTGCATCGCGGATGTAATAACTTTGTGATCTGTATGACACGTCCCACTGGGCAATTGCGAGCCGAAGAGTCAGTCTGGGTTGAGGTAAGCTATTGATTGTCGGAGCCCATCCCATTGGTACGTTATCTACTATAAATTGGAACTAAATAGGAAATAAATAGTAACTCACGCGTGAAGGGACATGCGCTGCCCGGTGGATAGATAGATAGATGGCCGATGGAAGCGAGCTTCAAGATCACCCATAGTGAAGACGAACACCCACCCGATAATATGATCATCTCAATGACACTTTATTTGAAACTATTGTTGCATGGCGTGGATCACCGCTTGACAGGATCGCTAGTCACGTCGCTTCGAACATACAGTATGTCTATCTTTCCGTAGTTCGGTGGACACGGGTCATCTCCGGATTCAGTTAACTCATTCGCTGGTCCGTCAGACATTCTTTGTAGGAAGTTCGGAAGATAGGACCCGGTATGGGCTAGCAGCACTCCATACGGCATTTCAAGGAGAATATTGCACCCTACGGAAATAGTTACGATGCCGGTGACAGGCCGGTGGCATCGGAACTAAGTACCTTTCGGTCCGCACGCACCCATCCCAGAGTACCTTTATCTCGACATGGTGGTTGTCCTCCATTGTGATAGGAAGCCCCAATCCAGCCCTGAACTATGTGGGTAGCTATTTCAAATAGCGTTTCCCAGTACCATGGCTGTGCAGTTGGGGTCCGGGGGATCCTTCGCAGCGCCAGTGCGCCACCGTAATGGGATGCAGGCTTCTGTGCGTTGAGTTATCATGTACTGCTGTTATGATGTACTTTTGACCCAGGAGTAGTTCGTTACAGGCCAATATCAGGAGGTTGGGACGAGGACGGGGCCGGGGAGACGACGTCCTGACCCGACAGGGAAAGACTGTCGGGATTAAAGTTGTTCTAGATACGGGATGGAAATTATTGTTTTGCTAGTGTGATGGAGCCAGTTCATGATCGTGGAGAGGAATCGAGAATGCTATGCATTGTATTGATCATGAGAGATGGTTGGTGGAAGTGATGTATCAAGTTGACCATTGATTCCGAGATATGATATCGTCAGGGAGGAGGTTCGTTAAGGAACAGGTCTAGCTTGGACGGGTAGGAGAAGGCAGCAACTATTGGATGCCTGAGGTGACTCGAGGCAGCCCTGGAGGAAGCATGACCGATGAACATGTTTGTTCCCAATCCCGAATCGGCCACGCGAGAGATACCTGATTCCCCAGGCACCGTCACATCAGCTGCTTCGTACTTTTTCCCTCACATTCCAACTTGAACGACCACCTCAACTCCTTCCCTTCTCGAACCCAGCCGTCACCATCGCCCCGTCATACATTACTGCGTATTTCAAAAAATCCAGGTCTCCGAACCAGTTTCACTACTGGCCGAACGTTTCACCTTTTTCCCAAACACGCCCCAAAGCTAAATCAGCGCAACGATTATGGGGACTGGAGTTGGCTCCTCTCCAATTGAACTCCACCGCCCAGAGAATCCGCTGCATTAGTTCGTCTCTCCGCAAAGGCTGATCAGCAAATCTCTTTTCACTCGTCCACTGCTCGAGTCGATCGTGTTCCCTCAATCAATCTCTTGTTCTCCTTTAAATTACTACTACCGACTTTTTCCCACCACGCCCCCTTAACTTGGGATCTTAGTACCACCATCGCCGCCAATCATTCTGCGTCCTCGGTCCTTTTGTATTTTTCTTTTTTATTTTTCCTTGGGATTTTTGGCGGATTGTTCCAGAAAACCTTGTTGAGTCTGTTCAACGGCGCGATTCTTTGGCATCCCTTGAATTCCCGCGAGTCAGCGACTCTCTCCTTCTCATTCAAGTTTCAACCCGTCCCATTGTCGTCCGTGCGGTGACCGACTCCAAATTTAATACGATTCTATTATAATTATTTTTTATCCTTTTTTTTGTTTTTTTTGCAATTGGTATTATTTTTTGATTTTGTATTTTTCATTTTTATTGATTTTATCCTCTTTTTCCCGGTTATTCTTTTTTTTTATTCGACAGACAGCCCCCTGGCCGTCCAACCACATTCCCGCCCCAAAGAATCATGGATCCCAACGCGACCGGTTTCCCTATGTTGCAGCAGCAACAGCAACAGCAACACTTTCCGGTTACCACCCAGAGTCCACAGCAGTTTCCTTACTATCCGAACGCGATTCCTTCTTACCCCCAGCAAAAGGCCCCTTCCCATCTTCCACAACAGCATTCCTTTGGTGCCATGCCGATGCAGGCAGGCGCTCCCGGTGGAGCTATGATGCCGGCGGGTTTCCCCCAGCACTCTGGTACGTCGTACTTCCCCTTTCGATCTCTTCTTTTTCTTTTTCCTTGGTCTCTATTTTTCCTTGTTCTTTAAGGGTATCTCTATTTTGACTTTGTTTTCTTTATTCGGGGATTCCCTCGACCCTCGGTGCCCCCTTGGACAATGGTATGGATCGTTAGTTTCAAAGATTTACCCGTACACACGCGGTCCATTAGTGACACATGGAGAGCTATGCGTCTGGTCCGATGGGGATCTGCCATGGAACTATCGTTCGAAGCCATGTCCTCGATTTGTGTTCTGTGCCTTGCGTCATCTGAACAACAACATCGGTGACAAGCCGCTAACGGAATGTGTGATCTTCGCTTTTAGTAGCACCCCACGCCAACTTTTCTGCTCCCTTTACCCAGCCACCTATTCCCGCGACCATGAATCAATTTATGCCCCCGCAGACTGTAGCGACTTCAACTCCTGCCTCGAGCGTTCCGGCAACCACGGCGCCATCCTTCCCTCAGAACATGGCTTCAATCTCGGCGAATAACCTGGTTCCCGCGCAGCCTCAAAGGCCCGTTCCGCAGCAGAACACGCAACAAGCGTCTGCGCCCCCGGTGACTCCATCACCTGCAACGGCCCGAGAGAAAGCTCGTGTCACCGTTCTGCTCGATATAAATTCAATGTTGTTGCAAGAGGTGGTGAATCTACAGGCAGCAGGCAAGGCGGGAGGCCCCCCAGCTCAGCCGCAGGACGCCAACCCGCTGTCGGATCAGGCCCCTGACACCGCAAAAGGGCCAACCCAGAAGCCAAGTCAGGAATACATCGATTGTATGCGTCGGCTGCAGGCCAATCTGGCATACCTGGCAACCATTGCCGACCGCGCTAAGAAATCCGGAGGCGTGCCTCCTACAGCACCAAGTATCATGACGCCGCCCCCACACATGCCGTCCATGAACGAAATGTATAAGAAGCTCGCTGAGCTGTTCCCACGCACGGTACCAGGCACTGCCGGAACACCCCAGCGAAGTCCTCAGGGCAACGGCAAGCCCAGCCCCTCTCCAGTTACTGAGACCGTTGTCTGAGCAAGGCCAATGTTTTTGAATGATTCGATCATTCACACATGCGCACCGTCCAGAATGTGAAGGATTTGGGCGATTCCGACTCGGCGCAGCGTTGGGAAACAAAGCTCCATGGGCGTTGTCTCTTCAGTTGAGACTCACATTCAGCGCCATAGCTGGACGCCGACATACGCACAAAAATATATCTATGACCCGGAACTGGCCTTGCCAATGTGGCTTTGCAAATCAATTCGTGGATGAATATCGATGGAGTTCACTTAGCAAAGGTCAGATACCAACGGTATATGAGAATCCTCTTCCGCCGGGACCCTGTTGGAGGAATGCCGTGTGCCCCGAGGTTTGAGACTCAGGAAGTCCGCCCGTGAAAGCAGCTGGGGTTTTTAATAATATGTCCGGATCTAGGCGGGGGAAAAGAGAAAATGGGCGCCAAGATTATTTACAGGTTTTTGTGAAGTTAACTGTAAAATTGAATCGGTTCAATCCGTGGATAGCATCAATGATACCACGTCAATGTGTCGATGGAGCACTAGTACTCGTAGCTGTGGTAGGGACGATGCTTCTTCCCACCCAGTTTGACAACCGTAGTAGTTTAGACTTCCCTGTTTTCCCCCCTGACTGTTCCACCGACCATCGCAATATCAACGGTCAGAAGACATGGAAAGCTCCATAGTATCACTTGATCGCCTGCAGCCACCGCGGAGGGGGCAATGGACCAATCAGGGGCCCGGATAACAGCTTTCCGCCTGCCGGACGTGCAAGCAACTGTTTCCAACCCAGCGGCAGTTCGCCTGATCTGCTTTTTTTTCACGCTGACTCCAACCCTTTCTCTTTGTCCTTCTATCCTTCCCATTTTGAGACCGTCGGGGGGTCTTGTGAATGTCTCTCGCCTCGCTCCTGGTGTGCAGAAGGAGCTTGTCTGTCGCTACTACTACTTCTACTTCTACGACTGCTGTTGTTACGGTTTCTTCATCTTCTCCCGCCGCATCGCCGCCGCCGCCTTCTTCTTCTTCTTCTTATTATTATCATCATTCCTCTACTTCTTCTACTGAGCACCTTCCGACAGAGTCTGGTGGCCCTTTGACCGCGTTTCGGTGGTCGCCTGTCCCGTCTTCAAGCGCTGCGTGGTCAATCTCTGGTCGTACCCGCCGTCCGCTAGCACATCAGCTCCCGGGTCCCCAGCACTGGTCATACGCCATAGCTTCCGCTCCGAGCATCCATCCTCACGGGTTTGTCCGGTCGATCTCGTCGTTCGTACCCTCTATTCGCTCTCGTCCGCGATCTAAGAATTCTCCAAACGAAGCCATGGATTTGAACGGAGATGCCGGCGCGAAACGCAAGCGCAGCTCCATCGTGCCCGCCGAGCGTCCGGCCAAACACCTCAAGCCCGAGAGCTCTGCGTTAACCCCGGGGGACTCCACGCCGGCCAATGGGACCGTCTACGATATCGAGGACGAGGATGACGCGAGCCGTCTATTGCCCATTGGGCCCGCCCAGGCTGATTCGCCGGAGTGGCAAGCTACCATCGAGGAGGTTGTGAAAAGCGTGGTTTCCATACACTTCTGTCAAACATGTTCTTTTGATACAGAATTATCGATGAGTAGTCAGGCTACCGGTTTTGTAGTCGATGCTGAGAGGGGATATATCTTGACTAATCGACATGTGGTCTGCCCCGGTCCCTTTTGGGGTTATTGTATCTTTGACAATCATGAGGAAGTAAGTTTAGCCATAGACCCTACCTCTTGGGGAAGCTGTATGGCCGAGTATATTACCGTAGTCGATGCTGATAATGGGCTTTCCCTAGTGCGATGTCCGTCCCGTATATCGAGACCCTGTACACGATTTTGGTATCCTTAAATTCGACCCGAAAGCCATCCGATATATGAATCTAACAGAGCTCAAGCTTCAGCCCGATGCTGCACGAGTAGGTTCGGAGATCCGGGTCGTGGGTAACGATGCAGGAGAAAAATTGAGTATCTTGTCGGGTGTTATCAGTCGACTGGATAGAAATGCGCCCGAATACGGCGAAGGCTATAGCGACTTCAATACAAACTACATCCAGGCCGCTGCAGCTGCTAGCGGCGGTAGTTCTGGTAGTCCAGTCGTGAATATCGACGGTCATGCGATTGCGCTACAAGCCGGCGGCCGTGCTGACGGGGCTGCAACCGACTACTTCCTTCCATTGGATCGTCCGCTGCGTGCGTTGGAATGCATCCGCCGGGGCGAGCCTGTCACTAGAGGTACCATCCAAACCCAGTGGATCCTGAAACCTTTTGACGAGTGTCGTCGTTTGGGCCTGACACCAGAGTGGGAGGCCACCGTGCGCAAAGCGGCCCCCACGGAGACCAGCATGCTGGTGGCAGAAATCATCTTACCTGAGGGGCCCGCCGATGGAAAACTAGAGGAGGGGGACGTGCTCCTGCAGGTCAATGGTGAACTTTTGACACAGTTTATCCGGTTGGACGATATCCTGGATTCGAGCGTTGGGCAGACAGTGCGTCTGCTTGTGCAAAGAGGCGGTCAAGATGTGGAGATCGAATGCCAAGTAGGTGACCTGCATGCCATCACGCCTGATCGCTTCGTGACCGTGGCAGGCGGCACGTTCCATGACTTGTCCTATCAGCAATCGCGACTGTACGCTATTGCCACACGCGGCGTATACGTCTGCGAAGCGGCTGGTTCCTTCAAGCTGGAAAACACCCTTTCCGGATGGCTCATCGACTCTGTGGACAAGCGGCCCACGCGAAACCTGGATGAGTTTGTGGAAGTGATGAAGACCATCCCCGACCGCTCGCGAGTGGTTATCTCTTATCGACATATCCGGGACCTCCACACGCGGGGCACAAGCATCGTGTACATCGACCGCCATTGGCACCCCAAGATGCGATTGGCGGTGCGCAATGACGAGACCGGTCTTTGGGACTTCTCCGATCTGGCGGATCCCGTCCCGGCCCTTCCCCCGGTGCCCAGGAAGGCCGACTTCATCCAACTGGATGGCGTAAGTCAGCCTGCAGCCTCGGAGATCGTGCGCAGTTTTGTGCGTGTGTCCTGCACCATGCCCTTGAAGTTGGACGGTTACCCCCAGGCCAAGAAGACTGGCTTTGGGCTCGTCGTGGATGCGGAAAAGGGGTTGGTGGTTGTGTCGCGAGCCATTGTCCCGTATGACCTCTGCGATATCAATATTACCGTGGCCGACTCGATCATTGTCAATGCCAAGGTCGTCTTTCTGCATCCGCTGCAAAACTACACCATTATCCAGTATGATCCCAGTCTGGTACAGGCTCCGGTGCAGAGTGCCAAGCTCAATACGGAGTACATCAAGCAGGGCCAAGACACCATTTTCGTCGGGTTTAACCAGAATTTCCGCATTGTGGTGGCCAAGACAGCTGTCACCGACATCACGACCGTGTCAATCCCAGCAAATGCGTCTGCACCACGTTACCGGGCCATCAACCTGGATGCCGTCACAGTGGACACTGGCCTGAGTGGACAGTGCTCCAATGGCGTTCTGATTGGTGAAGACGGAGTCGTTCAGGCATTATGGCTGAACTATCTCGGAGAGCGCACCCCCAGCTCGCATAAGGATGTGGAATATCACCTCGGATTCGCGACCCCGTCGCTGCTGCCGGTCGTCTCCAAGATCCAGCAAGGCGTGATGCCCGAGCTGCGGATCTTGAACATGGAGAGCTACGTGGTCCAGATGAGCCAGGCCCGCATCATGGGCGTGTCGGAGGAATGGATCGAGAAGGTGACGCGGGCCAATCCGTCGCGGCACCAGCTGTTCATGGTGCGCAAGGTCGACTGCCCGCCCGCTGGTTTCGACAACACGGCCGACACCTTCCAAGAGGGCGATATCATCCTCACCCTGGATGGTCAGCTGATCACGCGCGTTTCCGAACTTGATGTGATGTACGACAAGGAGTTCCTGGAGGCTCTGATCGTCCGCAATGGGCAAGAAATACGCATCCAGGTGCCCACCGTACCGACGGCGGACCTTGAAACTGACCGGGCGGTTGTCTTCTGCGGTGCGGTGCTGCAGAAGCCGCACCACGCTGTCCGCCAGCAAATCTCGAAGCTACACAGCGAGATCTACGTGAGCGCAAGGGTATGTATCTTTTCCCAATCCCTTTCCCCTTTCCCTTGGTGAAAATAGGTAGTGGCTAACCTGTCAATAGAGCCGTGGCTCCCCTTCGTATCAGTACGGTCTCTCTCCGACCAACTTCATCACCGCAGTCAACGGAGTACCGACCCCGGATCTTGACCGTTTTGTGAAGGAAGTGAGCAAGATCCCTGACAACACTTATTTCCGACTGCGGGCGGTCACATTTGACAATGTTCCCTGGGTGGTCACTATGAAGAAGAACGATCACTATGTGAGTATTTGATCCATGTTGCAGAGGCGTGGCCTGAAGCTAATTGCGTTAGTTCCCTATGTCTGAGTATCTCAAGGACCCCTCTCAGCCGTGCGGCTGGAGGACGGTTTCTCACAATAAATCCAAACACAAGGATGGCATTGCGCCCGACGCGGCCAATCTCAACCCGGACGCCATGGAACAGGGGTATGAGGGGGCCAGCGATATTGAACCGGAGGCGGAGTAAAATGGCGGCTTGTGTATAATAGACCTGGTTGTACGTACCACCGATGTACAGTGCGTGACTAATATATCTAAAATGATGACTTGATGACTGTGCCAGTAGTTGTCTTTTCTCTTGTACTGAGTGAGCTCCTGTTGGAAGCTAGCTTTATCTCTACACCCAGAACCCTACCACACCCCCCCTATATAGCCAACCACAGAACGAAAACGCCCAACCCCATAGGTCCCCAAAGCCTTCCCAGTTCCCCCAAAACAACCCTCGCCCTCAAACGCCCCTTATCCCCGACAAATCCGTCGCACAAAGCCGGGCTGAACTGTATGTATGTATTGTGAATGGCAGGTTGTCTCCGCATCGGGGTTAAGGGCTGTTGTACCTGGGGTCCCTTTACGAACAATTTTCGAGACCGAAAG